TGGTTCGGGAGCGCGTCGGGGAAGGGTTTGGGGTTCATTTGAATTATCTTGCGATAAAAGGGGGATCCACCCGAAATATGTAATGATGAAAGGTGGTGTTCCTCTTATTCTTCAGTAGCTGTCCCTCAAATCCCCCCCGCCCCCCCCCCCCCCCCCCCCCACCCTATAAAAAAATGAACGTTCCTTTAGTTGGCAGTTCCCTCTGTTTGAATTTTGATAAATTCCCTGACGCAACTCCTTTAAGTAAAGTTAAGTAGATTACTAAAAGTATCCTTTATCCTTAAGTTATCTTTCTAATTCTCTCTTTTTCTTTCCTCTTTTCTGAACGGGGGTTGAGCTCATCTTTGTGTACGCATCATCATGGCGACTTTATTTCGTTTATGACGCATGCTCAGTTTGCGTTCGTGTCACGCTCCTATCTTGTTTAAAAACGAAAGACCAATATGTAAATCTATCACTTACCCTGACCTGATCGTGGTCGTAACACCCCAGATCAAAAAAGGCATGACTCTCCAAATCGTGCTCATCTCTGGTTGTTCCAGCGGCATTGGACTCGCTACCGCTGTGCATCTCGCTAAAGATGCAGAGAAACGCTTCAAGGTTTACGCCACCATGAGAAATCTGGCGAAGAAAGGACAACTGGAGGAAGAAGGAAAGGAACAACTTGGAGACACTTTGATTATCAAACAGATGGACGTGTGCAGTGATGAATCAGTCACGAAGGCTGTTAAAGAGGTGCTCGACACTGAAGGGAAAATCGATGTGCTGTGTAAGTAGTTTCCGAGTTTGATAGTTATGTCCTTTTTAACAATTAAAAAGTTCCTTTTCAGTGCTGTCTCGAATTGTATCGACCTAGCTATAGTCTAACGAATTTAATGAATTGGGGGCTCAGATGGATCAAGGCGCGATATCGAGACAGGACTCTTAATACGAAAGGGCTGGTAGATCTTTTCGAAAGCCAGGACTCTAAATTCATCGAAATTATTAATTAACGAAAGATGTTCTCCAGCTGACTGCTTTCACATCTACATCTACATATATTAGGTCGGTAAAATCGTTAAGACACCATAGCAACCAGCTTTCTCTCCTCTTGAATGCTTCTGACCCTACTGAATATTGCGTTCCCTCTATTACAACTCGGAAGTGGCGTGATGAAACAAAAGGCCAATGAAGTGGCAGAGATCGTGAAAAAAAAAAAATCATACTCAGTGACAAGCCAAGCCTACGATACCAAATAAACTAGAAGTTAAACCCCGATGAGGTGCAAGCAAAACTTGCCGAATCTTCTGGTAATTTTATGGTTGAATTGATAAACAAGAAATATCTCTATAAGGAATAACTTCGACCGGTGAAAAGGATATTAATCCCATGCATTTAGGCGTGGAAAATAAGGCATGTGTTTCTGGCATAGGGCGACTTGCCATTAATGCACAAATGAACAATACGTACTAAGAAATCACTGAATGAGAGTAAACTAAAATAATTTATATTAGCATCATCATCATCATCATTCTATTTGATAAAGCAGGTTACGTCATAAGGTAGCATAAAAGCTGATATGGACCAGCGTTAATGGTAATGGAGACAATTCTAATAAGCCTCGCGGTGCTGCTATTAAAATAAATTGTGACTTTTCGATGTTAAGAATAAATTGATTAGTATGTATCCAGTCACAGCTTTGTAAGGTTCAAGTTCAGAACTTACATTCAACTTCTGAATGGAAAAATATAAAACACTATCACCAGCATGCAATGAATGTTGCAGAATTAAAGGACATTTGGCAAATCTTTCATGTACATCATAAACGATAGCTGGCCCAAGAAAGAGCCCTTAGCAACTCCAACAGATAGCTCAACAGGGTCAAAGTTGGCGTTGTCGAAGCAGGTAACCGGTCAAACCAATTCCGCGCAATATCACTTTAAAGCTGGTGACCTTGCGTGACAGAATGCTCGGCAGAGCGGCTTTTGGGGGGGGCGGGGGGAGCGAAGTACAAAAAAAATATTCGCGCAAGGGAAAATTAAATGAAAAAAAATTCATGCACGCCAATTAACCCTAAAAATATTCTTGCTACGGCCTAAAAAAAATTCATACAAGGAATTTGATAACGAAAAAAAATTCCTGCGGCTCAAAAATTCCCCAACCCCCCCCCCCCCATAACTTTTCTAATGGTCCGTCCCTTATCCAATTGAGCTAACTAGGCGCGCGAATAAGTAGTGCCTGGTACAGGACGATAAATATTGTAACTACATGTTTTAAATGCCCAACAGTTAACAATGCTGGGATGGGATTGTTTAGCGTAGTGGAATGTGTCCCAGTCGATATGGCCAAGGAATTGTTTGAGGTGAACTTCTTTGGAACCCTGCGACTGATCCAAGCTGTGCTGCCAAGCATGAAAGCGAGGCAAAGCGGGCACATTATCAACAACAGCAGCCATTATGGAATCGTTGGAATGCCTTTCTTACAGCTGTACAGTGCTTCAAAGTTTGCAATGGAGGGACTAACTGAAGCTATGGCTCCAACTTTGCTTCAATTTAACATCAGGTAATTAAAGTATATAACATAAATTACAAGCTACAGGTACACCAATGTAGACTCTTTCAGGTTGGTATTGCTGAAATACCCTTGAGCTTTAGGGGGGCTCCTTAACCACACCTAATTGGGCCTAAAATACCGCCAGAAACGGACCTTAAACAACGAGAACGTTGACGTCCCGGACGTCAAATTTGGCAAACGGATATGGGATCGATTTAGGTTTCTGGGAAACTACCCGCCTACCCCTCCCCTAAGCTAACATTAACACTTACTTCTCACTTGGGGCAAAATGACGGCTTAGGGGAGGGGTAGGTGGGAAGTTTCCCTGAAACCTAATTTGATCTACCGCATGTATATCTTTTCTCTCTTTCAGCGCTCTGACTCGACAAATTCGTACAGTGGGAGTTAAAACAGAGACATTCAGATTCATTGCGTGAGACAGAAGCGTTCCATCAAGCGCGACATTGAACTTTCGGGACTTCATAGTTCTCGTTGCTTAAGCTCGCTAAAAGGTTATCCCAGCCGTTCGTCTTTTTATCTGAGCGATTCCAATTCTTTCGCTGTATTGTGTAAACGGGCCTTACGACTACTTGTCTAACATGATCTAACTTAAAAAATGCAATTGCTTCTTCTTTTACTTGACAGGTGTTCTTTATTGGAACCAGGTCCTGTATTAACATCACCAAAGGAAGACTTGACATCTGGCACAAGAAATATGAAAAGCCAGCCTGTGACGAAAAGTCTTCTCAGCTATTTCAAGCCTCTCAAGAAAAGATGTGGAAAAAATTTGGGAACGTGATGTAACAAGCCAATGAAGTCGCTGATTTTGTGAAAAAGATCATTCTCAGCGAAAAGCCAAACCTACGGTATCAAACAAATGAGAAGTTTAACCCTGACGAAGTAAGGGCCAAACTTGCTGATCCTACTGGGAATGTTCTGGTTGATTTGATGAATAAAAAGTACTTTTAAGGTAAAGAATAGTTTGGACAAGGCGATTTACATGAATCGAAGATGAATGGATTAGAGGGTTTACCATGCTTTTATATGACTTCTGTAACGGATGATGTTCTCTTTACCACACTGAACTTGCTCATGATTTTTTTATCTAGCATTGATGGAAAACGAACGTTAATTGATCGAAAATAAACGTGTGATTTAAGTTTTTTTTTCCTTTGCTGGCCGGGCTGCCCGTCGGTTGTCTTTTTTTCTTCAGTCTTTTTTGTCCTCCTTTCGGTCACAACATTATATGTTCCCTTCACACTCTTTAATCGCCGGAATCCACCGTATTTGAATTGAATTATCCATGTAACCCTTTGTAAGGGAATTCCGGAATCTGGGAACTTCTTCCTTGCGAGAATCCGGAGTCCAGAAAATTTTTGCTTGTGGAACCCGGAAAGCAAGTCCCACCCAGTCTCGTTCCCAGTCGTTCTCGGCGATTTCGTTCTCGATTCCAAGCCTCCTCTGGTAACTCGGATAGCGCGAACTGGCCTGGGTACGAGGCTGAGTCCCACCGTTAAAGAATCCGGAATCCAGAACTTTAATCCCCCCTGATGATGGGGAAAAAATACATATATATATATTTTTTATAATTTATTTTTTTATATTTTTTCCTAATTCCCTAGCCAGCGGACACAGGAGTATTTCCCGTCGTCGCTTCTCTCCACCCAAAAGTAACGTCTGCGAACCAGAGCGGCAGAACGATTTCCTTGACGTAAAACCTTTTGTTTTGATGCTGGCCAATCAGATTAAAGGATGGAACAAAGCCTGAGTGATTCCTCGCGACCTTGGGCGCTGGTGTGTCTTTTGGAACGTGAATTTCACTACTATAACAAGGTTTCCTGCGACGTTAAATGCTGACTTCTTTGTGAAGCAAAGGCCTCTTAAGCTACATAATGTTATGTGCTTCGTTAGGCTTCCTTGTCACATTAATTTTATAATTTTATTAACCACTTTTGTCCACGTTGTATAAGGTTTTGTGAGTGACTAAATAAATACATAAAATAAATAAATAAATGTGGGTCTTTGGTTTTGCTTTACAAAATACAGTAGTACGTGACATAAACAAAACCTGGACAAACTGATCGCTTTAGCGAAAGGAAAATAACATATACTAATAGCTTAATGACATCGTGCTCAGACTCGCCATATATTTCAGTTTAACCAGCGTGGACAATCGATTGCACGGACAAATCCTTGACTGAGTCAAAAATCTCTGACAATCGCATGCGGCGTTAATAATTCAAAATCTCGGCCTGCAAGTATCGCCATCATACAATGATCTGAAATGTTATAAACCTATGCCGGACCCAGCGTGAAATAAATATTTAAAGCAGTATATTGACCATGATGGGGGTGGGGGTTTGCCATTCCATTTTATTTAGTCCAACATGGTAGTTTTTTCTTTGGATTCTCTTTACCACACTGCCTTATCAGGGGTTTCAGTTTTCTTTATTTAAGATAGAGCGAAAAGATTCGCATAAATGTCAAACTGCATACAGACCATGAAAACTGAACAAAAGGTACGTAAACCTAATTTGTTGAAATGTTTTTTGAAGGGGCTGGATTACGGCTGGCTACTTCATTTTGTTTATAATCATGTCAGTTACGCCTCCTTATTCGCAATGAACCTTGAGAAATTACTTGTAAATGACAAAATCACAGCTTGTGCCAAACAAATATATCTCCAAAGCATTATATCAAACTTTACAAACAACAGAAATGAACTTTAAAAGACTATGAGGCTAACAAGTCTTCAGAACCACAGTTTCAGTCCTTTTCAATATCTTCTTCAAGTTTGTCCATCTGCGCCTTTCTTTTGTATTCAGTTTGCTGTGTCATGTATACCTTAGCTTCTTCGAACAGTTATTCATGTTTCGCCCAGTTAGGTGGCAGTTCCGTCCTCTGTTTGAATTTTGATAAATTCCGTGACGAAACTCCTTTAAGTAAAGATAAGTAAGTTTGTTAAGTGTCCTTTATCTTTAAGTTTTCTTTCTAATTCTCTCTTTTCATCCTTTTTTTCTTTTTAAGTTCCGTTTCTTCTGAAGGGGGGTTCAAGAGCTCCTCCTTGTGTACACATCCTATTTGGTGCCTTTATTTAATTTGTTTGTGACGCACACTTTCTTGCGTTCGTGTCACGCTCCTATCTTGTTTTTATTTTTTTTTTACAAGAAAGAAAGACCAATATGCAAATCTATGACTGACCGCGACCTTTCGTGGTCATAAGGATCCCCAGATCAAAAAAGACATGTAGGGGTTACGAAAAGACAAGTAGGGGTTACGAAACCACAACAGGAATATAAAGTAGGCGTTAATCACCATTGAAAAATTATTTGCAGAGCAATTAGATACCTCGGTTATTACGCCGGGGGCAAATAAAGTAAATAAAAGGTGGAAAGCGGGAGGAAGGGAATCGTCGACGGAACAATTACGCATGCGTGTCAGTGCTTAACATTTTGCAATGAATAGAACGATTGGACCTGCACACAGAATTCAATAGAACTTTCACCTTGAATCATTTTATTGAGTACATGAAGACAAAAGATAATTATTGACTGAATTTGGCAAAGGTCCTTATTTCACGTCGGTAACTCGTAATAGCACTCATTAGACTGACAAACCTGGCACCCACGGTGCGCTCATTTTAGCCCCCTCCCCCTCCCTCTCAGAGCTCCGTTTCGGGTATTTAAAACTACTTAAAGCTTAATGGAAAGGAAACAACGATTTCAGACAAGGAGGCGCAGGGGGGGGGGGGGGGGGGGGGGGGAAAACGGGGAATAAACAACCACCCACCTAGGTTTTGTAAAACAGCCCCGGGTTTTCTTCCCCTCCTTTCGAAGGCGGTTTTACCCCCAGAAAGACGGAAAACACCAAAAAAAAGAAGGGGGGGGGGGGGAGAAGGCGGTTATCAAAAAAGAGACAGATGTATAGATGTAGGGTTTTGGGTGGGGTGTTACAACACTGTGTAGAAGGTGGGGTGGGAAAAACACCACCTATAACGCCCACAACCCTCCCCCCCCTGGTGTCTTTTTTTCCCCCCCCCCCCCCCCCCCCGAGGCCCCGTGTGGGGGTTTTAAAAAAATTTAAAAAGAAAGGGAGAAAAAAAAAAAATTTAAAAAAAGAGGGGGCGGGGGGGGGGGGGGGGTGGGTGGAAACCGGGAAATTCAACATTCCCAATCCTAATTGTTAAAACGCTTGCCAGGTTTTCCTTCCCTTCCTGTCGAAGGCGTTTATGCCCAAGGAAACGCGTGAAACCAACACTAAAGGAAGCCGGGGGGTAGCAATACGTGCATTCATGAAACGGCTAAGCTTTAATATGTTGTGTTTTCGGGAGGTGTTTCAACAAATTATGACCTGGATTGCGTTCCCGGTCATAATTGAAACGCTTGCAAAGTTTTCCATCCCCTCTCTTTCAATGGAAGACGTTTATGCCCAAGCAAACGCGTGACACCAACATTGAGGGAGGGGAGGGTAGGGAAGCAACACTTGTTTTCATGAACCGACTAACGGGACTAAGTTTAAGGTGTGTTTTCCGGAAACTTCAATAAATTATGACCGAGATTAAAGGTGCGGCGGGAAGCGAGATATTTGGATCTCCATCAATCCCCCTCCACACTCTTCTCCCCTGTTATTATGAACCAGATGGGCCTGGTAACAAAACTAACAGTAAATAATACCTTGATGCTCAACAGTCAACAACGCTGGAATAGCATTGTTAACCATAGTGGAGTGTGTCCCAGTGGACATGGCCAAGGAATTGTTTGAAGTGAACGTCTTTGGTACCTTGCGACTGATCCAAGCTGTGCCCCAGGCATGAAAGAGAGAAGGAGCGGCTGTATAATTAACAACACCAGCCATGCTGGAATTGTTGGATTACCTTTCAATGAGCTTTACGCATCTTCAAAGTTTGCAGTGGAGGGCCTTACTGAAGCAATGGCTCCAACATGCTTCATTTTAATATCAGGTAAAGTAAACCAAAGTTAATGTTCAAATGTTGGATAGCTCTTTCCAACTTATATAATTACGAATAAATCACACTATCCAGCGGATAAGTATCAGGGAACTCAATTACACTCTCTAGCTGATAGAGATTTATCCAGTGGATAGCGTTATCCAACTTTTAAACAACTTGAGCCAGGACGTTGGAGGCCACAGGCAAACCATTCTAGACCTGGGTATAGGGTGATATTTCTGGAATACCCTTCAATGAGCTTTACGGTGCTACTCGCTTTAACAGTTTGCAGATAAGAAAGAGAACTACGGCCTCAACTGTAAGATCTGTAACATGTCCTGCCCTGGCTTACTACCTTATAGCTATTTTTGTGGCAGCCTTTTGTTTAACCGCTGCTGTACTTACAAAAGCGAACACAGACAAACCATGCTAGACTGGGTCAGTTTGGTAGTCTTAGAATAACCAGTTATGAGTTGATTTTATTCTAGTTTACTCAAAGTTTATAGTTTTGCTGTAAGAGATGGCGCCAATATCGTATACATTAAATTTCCAGATCTTCAGCAATTATTGGAAGAGGCTGGGTACGATCTGAAGAATTATGTAGATCATTTAAGACGGAATTAAAAAAAAAAAAAAAAAAGCAACGGAATTAAAAAAAAAAAAAAAAAGCTTGTACCAGAATAATTGAAACAATATCGCATTCGTTTTTACACGCGTAAGTTTTCTTCAAATACTGAGGCGCGGTCGCTAAGCACGCAGTGTATTCTCTTAAAACTTTTTAGGGCTAACATTCTCATTTGACAAGAACGCTCGGTTAGAAAGACTTTGAGTCCGACCGAGGCAAAGTGTGTTTTCAGGGTTCTTTAGGGAGTAGTTTGGCTATTTCTTCTACGCTTAACGTGTGGAATTTTTTCGCCATTTTCTACAGCTTTAACAAACTTCCTGAGCTGCGCAGCCTCGTTCCCAGAGCTACTCGGTTGCCGTTTTTCCTCCCTCTAACGTTTCCCAGATTCTTTTGTGGACCTACACATTCTATGAAGTAAAACATATGATAAAGAAGTTCACAATAAAGAAACCTCGGTATAGCGAACAAATTTTGTCAGTTCCTTGACAACCCCCCCTCCCCCCCCCCTTATCCAGGTTTCACTGTATTTACAAGTTTATTAAAGAAGATGTAATCTCCACAACCTTCTAACTAGCCACACACCCTTTCTTTACCCCTGGTAGGTGTTCTATTCTTGAACCAGGTCCCGTTGGAACAGAATTAGGTGGAAACATGGAAGCTTGGCACAAGAAATATGACAAGCCAACTGCTGACGAAGAGTCTTCAAAACTGCTTCAAGCCTTCACAGGGAAGTTATGGCCAATGGCCCTTAAGCATAACCAAGATGTCAAGGAAGTCGCAGAGATTGTGAAAACGATCGTACTTAGCGACAAGCCAAACCTACGATATCAAACAAATAAGAATTTCCACCCCGATGAAGTAAACGCCAAACTTGCTGATCCTACTGGCAATGTTATAGTTGATTTGATGGTCAAAAAGTACTTCGATAAAGAATAGTTCGTATATAGCCCGCATGGTCAACCAGTTGATGCATGGATGTTATTCTAGAGTGTACATCGTTTAGGTTTTGTTCATTTGATTGGCAATGGAACATCATATATGTTTAGCATGTTACCATAATCTTATGAAAATATCTGAATATTATGACCTTCCTGATTTTGATCCTAATAATTTAAGTGAAGCTAAGATCAAACACTATATAGATATAATAAAACAAAAATATATGACATATTGGCAACATACAATCTATCATTCTAAGAAACTACAACTTTACAGCTTATTTAAACGTGATTATAAAATTTAAGGTTATCTAGACCTAATTAGAAATTCAGCCAATAGGAAAGACTTAGTGAAAATTCGTATAAGTAAACACAAACTCATGATTCACTGAAACTGGAAGATATAATCAAATAGATTCTGTCCTATTTGTAACTCTGGTATAATTGAAGACGAATTTCATTTTCTCTTCCATTGTCCAAAATATTCAATCCCAAGGGAGAAATTCTACAATCAAATCCAACAAAATTTTGTCGACTTTAATCAGCTATCTTACATAGAATTAATAATTAAGTTGATGAATTCACAGAATTTTTCCGTAAATTCACATTTGTTGAAATTTGTCTCATTCTGTAATGATTTACGTACTAATTTGTTATCAAATCATGCTGATGACACTTGATTGACTGTAGTATTCATTGCAATGCATCATCCTTGTGATAGATTGTTGTTGTTGTTGTTAAGAACCGAACTCTTTAATGATATGGCTGGCAAGCATTTACTCCAATGGAGAGTGTAACTAAGTATAGCAAAATAAATTTGAAAGATTCAGATTTACTGACGTCAAGTGTCTTCGTGGTCATCTGAAGTCATTTATCTCCAAGACGTAAAAGGCCTGAATAGATCACACCCTATTACGCTTTTTGAGTGTCATTTATGTTGGCTCGACCGTAGTTTTCAGGGCCATTACCTTCCAAGTCTTACCACTTCGTCGCGTGCCCACTATGTCCCGTATCCACCATGTCGATTGCCCACTATGTTGTATGCCCTCAATGTTATGTGCCCACTTCGTCGCGTGCCTGAAATCGCACTCGGTTCCAAGCCTCCTCTGGTAACTCGGATAGCGCGAACTGGCCTGGGTACGAGGCTAAGTCCCACCGTCGAAGAATCCGGAATCCAGAACTTTAATCCCGCCGATGAGGGGGAAAAAGTGCATATATACTTTTTTATTTTCCTCCTCGTTTGTTCTCCTAATTCCCTAGCCTGCGGACACAGGCGTATTTCCGGTCGTCGCTTCTCTCCACCCAAAAGTAACGTCTGCGAACCCGAGCGACAGAACGATTTCCGTGACGTAAAACCTTTTTTTTCATGTTGGCTAATCAGATTAAAGCATAGAACAAAGCTTGACTGATTCCTCGCGAACTTGCGCGCTGGTATGTCTTGGATTTTGGCGAGAGTTACTAAATACGACTATGGTTGTTCTTCTTGTGACCTTTGCTTTCTGATCCGTACGAAGACGTGCGTGATGAAGTGAAGCGAAAATGTGACGTCATTTGGCATCAAACGCGACTGTAATTGGTTAGATCTCGATAAGGTGTCACTCAACCTAGCTTCAAAGAACTTGATGCGCTCTAAATTAAAACCCCGTTTAGCCTGCGTAGCAAGCGTTTCCGCGCGAGTTCGTCGAGAACGTCGGGACGAGAGCAAAAGAAAAAAGGAATGACGGGCGAGGGGGAGGGGAAAGAAGAAACCTCCCCCTCCCTGTTCCACCTTTCTTTTTTTCGCTTCCGCTCTAACTTTCGCGCAAATAACTCGATTGGAAACGCTTGCTACGCAGGCTAAACCCCGTTTTAAACTATTTTCTGTTTTATTTTAAAGAAAAGGATTTCCATATGGATTGCTGCAAGCGGAAAATATAAGAAGTGCTCGCTGCTCGCGAGTTGTACTCTCTAAACTGCTCGCTGCTCGAAAAGCAAACTTTTGTATCTCTTCTCGCGCTCGCAAAAAAATCGCAGCAGCGCTCGCAAGCTCGCGAATGCTCGCAAAGACCATTCGTCACTTCTTACAAACAACAGAAATGAACTTTAAAAGACTAAGAGGCAAACAAATCTTCAAAACCACAATTGCAATCCTTTTCAATATCTTCTTCAAGTTTGTTCATCTGCGCCTTTCTTTTGTAGTCAGTTTGCTGCGTCATGTATACGTTTAGCAAAAAAAAAAAATGTATACGTTAGCTTCTTCGAGCGGTTTTTCATGTTTCACCCAGTTAGGTGGCAGTTCCGTCCTCTGTTTGAATTTTGATGAATTCCGTGACGAAACTCCTTTAAGTAAAGCTAAGTAAGTTTGTTAAGTGTCTTTTATCCTTAAGTTGTCTTTCTAATTCTCTCTTTTTATATCCTTTGGTTCTTTTTAAGTTCCGTTTCTTCTGCAGGGGGGTTCAAGAGCTCCTCCTTGCCTACACATCCTATTTGGTGCCTATTTAATTTGTTTGTGACGCATAGTTTCTTGCGTTCGTGTCACGCTCTAATTGTTTTTATTTTTTTACAAAAAAGAAAGGCCAATATGCAAATCTATGACTGACCCCGACCTCTCGTGGTTATAAGGATCCCCAGATCAAAAAAGACATGTCTCTCCAAATCGTGCTCATCTCTGGTTGTTCCAGCGGCATTGGACTCGCTACCGCTGTGCTTCTCGCTAAAGATGCAGAGAAACGCTTCAAGGTTTACGCCACCATGCGAAATCTGGCGAAGAAAGGACAACTGGAGGAAGAAGGGAAGGAGCAACTTGGAGACACTTTGATTATCAAACAGATGGACGTGTGCAGTGATGAATCAGTCACGAAGGTTGTTAAAGAGGTGCTCGACGCTGAAGGGAAAATTGATGTGTTGTGTAAGTGGTTCCCGACATTGATAGTTTATCCTTTTGACAATATAAAAGTTCCTTTTCAGTACTGTATCGAATTGCATCGACCTCGCTATAGTCTAACGAATTTTTTGCGAAGTCTCATGCAGGCGCGATAACGCGACAGGACTCGCAATACGAAAGGGCTGGTAGCTCTTTTGGAAGCCCTGACTCTAACTGTTGAAAGAGCTCAAACATAAGTAATCGAAAGATGTTCTCTAGCTTACTGCTTTCTCGGCTCCTGTTTAATATTGCTGACCCAGGGCAATTTAATTCGCAATAGACAAAGTGGATATTATATAGCCCGCAATTTCAAAACAATCATAGAAGTTGCTTTGAGTTCGCTTTAAAGAGACTAAAAAATGTTTGAGCTGCAAAATTGTGACCTTTTTTTTAAAAGTTTTGTGAATATGAAACTCAACAATAAGGATTTCTGACTTTGTCAGATTGAGCCAGGACAAGTAAGCATGACCAAGCAATATGCAAAGTAGGGGTTACGAAACCACAACAGGAATATAAAGTAGTTGTTAATCACCTTTGAAAAACTATTTGCAGAGCAAACAGATACCTCGCCTATTACGCCGGGGGCAAATAAAGTAAATAAAAGGTGGAAAGCGGGAGGAAGGGAATCGTCGACGGAACAATTACGCATGCGTGTCAGTGCTTAACATTTTGCAGTGAATAGACGAAAGGACCATAAAAAAGAGAGGCAAGAAAAAAAGGAGGGTGGAAACCGGGAAATTCAACGTTCCCGATCTTAATTGTTCAAACGCTTGCCAGGTTTTCCTTCCCTTCCCTTTCAATGTTGACGTCGAAGACGTTTATGCCGAAGCAAACGCGTGAAATCAACATTAAAGAACGCCGGAGGGTAGCAATACGTGCATTCATGAAACGACTAAGTGTTAATTAATGAATATGTTATGTTTTCCGGAAGTGTTTCAATAAATTATGACCTGGATTGCGTTCCCGGTCATCACTGAAGCGCTTGCAAAGTTTCCCATCCCTTTTCTTTCAATGGAAGACGTTTATGCGCAAGCAAACGCAAGAAACCAGCTTTGAGGGAGGGGAGGGTAGGGAAGCAACACGTGTATTCATGAACCGCCTAAGTTGATGTTGTGTTTTCCGGAAATGTTTCAACAAATTATGACCGGGATTGAAGGTGCAGGAGGCGAGATATTTGGATCTGCATCAACCCCCTTCCACTCTTCTCCCCTGTTATAATGAACCAGGTAGGCCTGGTAACAAAACTAACAGTAAATAATACCTTGATGCTCAACAGTCAACAACGCTGGAGTAGCATTGTTAACCATAATGGAGTGTGTCCCAGTGGACATGGCCAAGGAATTGTTTGAAGTGAACTTCTTTGGCACCTTGCGACTGATCCAAGCTGTGCTGCCAGGCATGAAAGAGAGAAGGAGCGGCTGTATAATTAACAACAGCAGCCATATTGGAATTGTTGGAGTACCTTTTAATGAGATTTACGCATCTTCAAAGTTTGCAATGGAGGGCCTTACTGAAGCAATGGCTCCAACCTTGCTTCATTTTAATATCAGGTAAAGTAGACCAAAGTTAATGTTTAAATGTTGGAGAGCTCTTTCTAACTTACGAATAAATCACACTATCCAGTGGATAAGTATAAGGGAACTCAATTACACTCTTTAGGGACCGTTCATTTTTTATGAGAGAGGGGGGGGCTGGTGGGATTTGGGGGGGGGGGCACTCGAAAAAAATTGGCTTGAAAGGGGGGGCGAGCCGAAAAAAAATGAAGGAAAGAGGGGGGGGGGGCGGACGAAAAAAATAGATTAAAAATAGGATAAGAGATGTTTACAAATCGAAGAAAAATTGTGCTCCGTTTATTTATAACAAATATGCTAAAACAGTTCCAGGGTAACAAGAAAACTTCTCAACAGCTTTTATATTTTATAAGGACAGTGAACATACCATAATAACAGTCTTGAATAGCAACAACTTTCTTTTCATTCATAAAAATGTTGTTGTCAAGCTCATATAATTAAAACCAATAATTTGAGTCCTGAATTGGAACTGACCTCGTTACCAGAGCTTTTCTCTGAGAAATTTAATGGGAGGGGCATGAAACTACTACGAGGTGTCCCCTTCCTCATTTTCGACGTTCTCTTCGATCTCGTCGTCGCTGTGTTCCTCTTCTTCTTCCTCCTGTTCTTCTTCGTTGTCTTCCTCTTCTTCCTCTTCTTCGTCGTTTTCTTCTTCCTCTTTGTTCGTGTCTCCGACGTTTGAGCTATAATCTTCAGGATGCAGGAAGCAATACATCCTGTTTCTTACTTCTGGCTTAAGGTTGGTAATAAGCCTGCTTTGTGCCGCGTTGCTGAAGTAGCTTGATTGCAGTAGGTGAGCGTTGAATGCTGCATCCCGTGTTAGCAACAATGCTGCTACATCTTCAACGTTTATGCAAGCTTCCGGAATTGTCATGGAGGGAGGATAAAGAAGACAATTGGGAAGCTCTTTTGCAAGGGGATTTGCAACGCAGATATGATACACGCGTAGGACGTTGTTTGCAAACCGTTTGCGTTTTCTGCCCTTTGATTTCCTACGGTTTTGTTTTAATTTTCTTTTTTCTGACACATAGTGTCCTGTTAAGCCCTTGAAGACCTGGTCAAAGGTCTTGACTTGACTTTTCATTCTTTTGAGTGACGCCTTTGTTAAAAACAGCTTTCTAGCTTTCAACTTTCTTTCACTAAATTACGTGAAATGTAACAAAACGAAATTTTAATGCAGTAACTTTTTTAATACCTTATGTATTTTTTTATTCATGGGGGGGGGGGACCTCCAAAAAATTACTCTGATGGGGGAGGGGGCATGCGAAAAAAATCGGAAATTAGGGGGTGTCATACAATTTTCAAATTACACTCCTCCAAATCCCACCAGCTCCCCCCCACCCAATAAAAAATGAACGGTCCCTTAGCTGATACAGATTTATCCATTGGATAGCGTTATCCAACTTTTAAACAACTTGAGCCAGGACGTTGGAGGCCACAGCCAAACCACTCTAGACCTGGGTATAGGTTGATATTTCTGGAGTACCCTTCAATGAGCTTTACGGTGCTACTCGCTTTAATAGTTTGCAGATAAGAAACAGAACTACGGTCTCAACTGTAAGATCTGTAACATGTCCTGCCCTGGCTTACTACCTTATGGCTATTTTTGTGGCAGCCATTTGTTTATACCGCTGCTGTACTTACAAAAGCGAACACAGGCAAACCATGCTAGACTGGGTCAGTTTGGTAGTCTTAGAAAACCAGTTATGAGTTGATTTTATTCTAGCTTACTTAAAGTTTATTTTTGCTGTAAGAGATGGCGCCAATATCGTATACATTAAATCTCCAGATCTTCAGCAATTATTGGAAGAGGCTGGGTACGATCTGAAAAATTATGTAGATCATTTAAGACGGAATCCGGTGGAGAAAAACCTTGTACCAGAATAATTGAAACAATATCGCATTCGTTTTTACCCGCGTACGTTTTCTTCAAATACTGAGGCGCGGTCGCTAAGCACGCGGTGTATTCTCTTAAAACTTTTTAGGGCTAACAGCGTGCGCTTAGTTTCTCATTTGACAAGAACGCTCGGTTACAAAGACTTTGCGTCCAACCGAGGCAAAGCGTGTTTTCAGGCTTCTTTAGGGAGTAGTTCGGCTATTTCTACTACGCTTTAACGTGTAGAATTTTTTCGCCATTTTCTACAGCTTTAACAAATTTCCTGAGCTGCGCAGCCTCGTTCCCAGAGCTACTCGGTTGCCGTTTTTCCTTCCTCTAAACGTTTCCCAAATTCTTTTGTGGACCTACACATTCCATGAAGTAACACTGTGCATTTAATCTAAGTTGAATACGTTGCTTAAACTAAACTATACCTTGTACAGCACGCACTACCTCGACATAATGAACCTTTATGCTAGAAGTTCTCATTGAGATGGGAAATGTTGCCGTTAGCTGCGATGCGAACAGGACAAAGACAGTTTGTAGAACAGTTGAACATATGAATTCCTTTTTATTAAAGACAATGAAATAGACTTGTTGGAATTATGGAACACTCAGAGCGTAATGTAAAAAAATGAACCGATCACACAGGTCAGGTAGATCTAGAACACATGCCGTCACTTATATAACTTACAATTCTGATTACCGAGATAACAGTCTGTGCAAGCAATACCTTTATTCACCTTGTACTTAATTAATTACATACTCACGTGAAAGAATACTCCCTATAACAAATATTGAAACCTAGAATAAAAAATAAACCGAAAAAATGTTCCGTACAATACTTCTTGAACTGTTCTTACCGTTTAGGCCGTTTAAAAAGACAGCAAATATCCGATGAACTACGATTTCTTAACAGATCTTACCTGAGACCCAAACAAGAAATGGCGGGTTGCTCCTAAGGGAAAAAAAGGCGCGGCAGCTAATCGCTTGCTTAAATCTCAAATCGCTCAAGAATGTGGTGTGCTGCTGGCTGATGCCCGGCAGCAATAACGAAGTCCTTGGCATAACGAATGATTTTCTTTATCCCAGTAATTGTAAAACATATGATAAAGAAGTTCAAAATAAAGAAACCTCGTTATAGCGAACAAATTTTGTCTATCCCTTAAGCGCCCCCCCCCCCCTTATCGAGGTTTCACTGTATTACAAGTTTAATAAAGAAGATGTAATCTCCACAACCTTCTAACTAGCCACACACCCTTTCTTTACCCCTGGTAGGTGTTCTATTCTTGAACCAGGTCCCGTTGGAACAGAATTAGGTGGAAACATGGAAGCCTGGCACAAGAAATATGACAAGCCAACTGCTGACGAAGAGTCTTCAAAACTGCTTCAAGCCTTCACGGGAAAGTTATGGCCAATGGCCTTTAAGGTGATCCAAGATGTCAAGGAAGTCGCAGAGATTGTGAAAACGATCGTACTTAGCGACAAGCCAAACCTACGATATCAAACAAATAAGAATTTCAACCCCGATGAAGTAAAGGCCAAACTTTCTGATCCTACTGGGAATGTTATGGTTGATTTGATGGTCAAAAAGTACTTCGATAAAGAATAGTTTGTAAATTGTTAACAAGTTGATGCATAAATGTTATTCCAAGTGTAAGTCATTAAAGCCTTTTATATTTGATTGTCAAATGGAAAATCATACATAGTCAAGAAGTAAGTTTCCTCAAGACCCCGAGACACTTTCATGATTTGGCCGGCAAGCGTTTACTCGAATAGAGACTCTAAGTGTAATAAAATAAACTTGAAAGATTCTGATTCACTGATGTTGGGTGTCTTTTCATCTAAAGTCATTTTTCTCCATATAGGCTGTATAACGCCTGCATGGGTCACAGCGTATTACACTTTGGATGGGATTTTTCAGGGCTAATACGCCCCAAGTTTGACCATTAATCCCAGATTGGATCCCAGATTCCTTGTCAGTGGAAGGGATTGCCATCGTAAACGGGATTCCGGATTTCTTGTGCTGATTTCCCGATTTCAAAGCCCAGGGTTAAGGATTCCACAAGAAAAAAAAACCTTCCTAGTTTTAGGATTCCACAAGCAAACACTCCCCGGATTTTGGAATCTGGATTACCCTACATGGGGTGAATCAAGGTAGCCTGCGAAGTATCGAGGAGGCGCTCGCACATTCCCCTCGCGCGCTCTATAATTTAAAGATAACCAAAAACCTAACTTGCTATGCACCCATCATAAAAACCACCATCAAAGCCACCACCATCACCATCATCAAAGCCATCATAGTCGTCAAAGTTAAAGAACAGCACTCATAAAATTTTACCAACACTGTTATCCCTAGCTTTCAAAAACATCCGTCTCTCCTCGCTCTTTTCAGGACGTTTCGCTAAACGAGATGCCCCTAGCACGGCGTCGAGGAGAGACGGCTGAATTCGCCGGCTATGTCAACCCCAACATCAATTTTTTAAGCATTATCACCTTGAACCTTTCAATCACCATGAGTCCATGATTAATACCACCACCGGCGGGCTGGCCGTCAAACAACCTACATCGCACCATCGGTACCATCATCTTTCTTATCATTATCACTATGGTAACTACCGGTCATCAGCTTATCATTACCGTAGTTACTGGCATCCCCATTACACTACATAAGAAATATGTGTATCGCAAACCCTTGCGATTAAAAGATAGAAAAAGAGCTAATCGCCGAAGAGTTACGCTGCAGGTGGCTCATTTTGAAGCTCGGGCGTGCCCATAGAGGAAGACATTGGAACATTTGGTCATCTTTCTGTAAAACTTAAAGGAACGCCTTGAAAACCGTCTAAATACGGTAAGCCTACGGATGCATAGCTCGCGCGCCCGAAATCCCCATCCCCTTTCCTTTCGAAGGCTGAGGAATTTCTTGTACCTGGTTTATGACAGGCGCCTATTACGTTCCGTCAACCCCTGTCACAATGCCTCCAGCCCAGGTGTTTTTAGGTCTTTCGTCACGCGTTTCTGCCCCATGAATGAATGAATGAATGAATGAATGAACGAAGTTTATTGCCTGAAGGGCTTTTCAGTGCTACAATACAATATTAGAAACCGTCAATGCATATAAGTAATGAAATTAAAAAAATATGGTTTTATATTTACTTACGAAAAACTATTTATCTAAGTTTCCGTTTAAAATTACTATGATACTGAATACAATGTTAAAACCTGCATCGCATTATAAAATCGCCAAATATATATAAGATAATAAAAATAGTTACTAAAAGTATTATGTGTATTCAGGAGATCCCCGGATTAAGGAATTTCTGTAACATTATTTGCCTCAGGACCGCGTGACGAAGCCCACACGAGTGCGGGCTTCAGCAGATAGTTTTTTCCTTTTTGGCGCCAAAAAAAAAATTCCTGATCGCAGGTTAAGTGGGAAAGAGAAAATTGACCTCCCGGGCGTAAAAAATAGTGGCAACCGAAAGTTGGTGCTTTAAGTGTTCTGACTCGACAAATTTTTACAGCAGGAAATAAAACAAAGGAATTCACGTTCCTTGTGTGCGGTAGAAGGGTCCATCAAGCAAGACATCGAAGTCCGGTTGTTATTCATGACGTCCGGGACGTCAGCGAGACTTAAACTAAGTAAAGCTAGCTGAGACGTCAAATTCGATCACTTAAGACCTGGCTTTCTTCGCACGCGAATCAACATAGGCATGTCTTCACAGATCGTGCTGATCTCTGGTTGTTCTAGCGGCATTGGACTCGCTACCGCTGCGCATCTGGCTAAAGATGCCGAGAAACGCTTCAAGGTTTATGCCACCATGAGAAATCTGGCGAAGAAAGGACAACTGGAGGAAGAAGGAAAGGAACAACTTGGAGACAGTTTGATTATAAAACAGATGGACGTGAGCAGTGATGAATCAGTCAAGAAAGTTGTTAAAGAAGTGCTCGACACTGAGGGAAAAATTGATGTGTTGTGTAAGTGCGTGAAGTACTGTTTTATTTTCAGACTTAGATAGTTTATTTATTTATTTCATTTATGCTCCTTTTCGCCAACGAAATGTACTTAACATCATTTTATAACAAGGGGGTCGCGATTGCATCACAGGTAGGTATGTGCCCCTTGGGCACTATGAAGGCCTGGAGAGGCCCTGCCCAAAAGGGTTACGTTTTTCGGGCTTACGTATAAAAAACATAAAGTGGTAGGAATGAAATTTGTGATTTAGGTGTTCTAAAGTAAAATGACTCAAACATTTCGTGTCGACGCATCTTATCAGGCCGTATCAATTAAATTTATGAAACGTTACATAAAAAGACTGTAATAACCAACTGTTACAAGAGTAAGATTATGTTTTAGGTAAAGACCAAGCTTTAGACCGCAAAAAAAAAAAAAAGGTCAGATAAAACAGCCCGCTGTTCTGTTATGTTTGACTCCTGTTGACTGTGACCTTAACGATTATGTAACTGATCCACACTCTTGATTTTACTTCGCTATTGTTCGGCTCAAACAAAAGCAGGTATTTTTTTTTTTACTAGAGTGATTTACTTAACCTTTGAAATAGGTAGTAGAATACTACGCGCTATTATGCACTAATTCCGTTGTCCTCTTTTGTTCACTTGTAGCTATATTGCACTAGTAGTTTTTATCTGTTTTTACGGATCAAGTAAAATCACTCTATCATCATTGGATTTGAACTGTTCTGATATTCCTAAGATGGTAGAACCAATTACATTCGATTTGCATATCAGGTTTGTAAATACATGTACCGAAAAGGTTGTTCTTCTGCTCTGGCGAAAACATAATAGAAACAACTATTTCCAAACCTCAGAGCAAAAAAATTTGGTATAAACCAAACCGAATATTTCTTAATCGCTCGAACTTCAACAGCGATTCGGTTACGTAACAGGAAATTGGAACGTACGTTATTGGAGGCGGGTATTTAATTTCACGGGTACTTAATTTCGCGATGTTCTCGCGAGGTGTTATTTTCACCATTTCAATATCAAAAAAAGGGTATAATAATTATACTTCGCGTTCTCAACTTCACGTTAGTTTTTAAAAAGTCTGAGCTTTTTGAAAACCTTATCTTTCTAGATAAACTGAAACAAGCAGTGTATGAAATCTTAAAGGTCAAATGAACCAAAAAATTGAAATATTTTCTTTTGTCGCTTTACCTTCACCAAACACTAAAAAGAAACATCCTAAGTGAGATTTGGGTAAAGATTTTTCTTCCCAAGCCTTTATAAAAAGATAAAAGAACAAAATTCGAGCATTTCCGAAGACTTCACGAAAACGTTTCTGAAATGGCCGCGTGATAGACTGGAGACTACGTGACGTCAATGTTGGTCTTTCAGGGAGGAAAAACGTTCTGCGCAAGCTTGTGCCAGGGCGGATAACCTTTATCCACCCTGTTTCTGTGCATCTTATATCGCCTGCGTTTGTTTGTCTCGTTCTGTGAGAGTTTTGACTGAGACTGAATGAAATGCACGAGGTGCGAACGTTTGCTCCTTGTAAAGGAGGGGGGTGAATAGGTCCGCGGATCTGCGGATTTGGCCTTAAAAAGCTCACGGATTGTGGATTTCGGCGATGAATCGAGCGGATTCGCGGATTTGAAAAATACCGTGGATCGCGGGTCAGCTGAAAGTTTTGGCCCGGTTTCCGGATTCTGTCGGTCTAGAAGTTCGGATTGTGGATCGGATCATCAATTTTCGGTCGGCCTTGGTTAATGTGCTGGTGTTTTGTCGGCTAACGCTCCACTTCCGAGGTTTCCAGAAGAGACTTTCTCGTGACCCGACGCATATACATGTATTCTAGTATAGACAGCGTGACGGAAATGACGTCAGGCAACCTTGTGCATGGTGTGCGGAATTCTTTTAACCCCGCTCCGCTGGTTCAAACAAATCAAGAAGACTGTATCTTTCGATGCAACAACACGATTTAATGCAATCCAACAATCTACTGCGAAGTACAACTCTCACTTAACAACGTTCGTAAGACTACGATCAACGTAACTAAACGATCAACGATCAACGAATCGATCAACTGAACGATCAACGAATCGATCAACTCAACTATGAACGATCAACTAAAACATTCTAAGTATACAGTGGTTTTTCTACTATTCTTGCGTAAGGCAGTATTTTTACATTAATCACATGTACAGTAAAAGTTCCCATTGTAATGTATCTAAATTAAGCGTCTATTACAAAATCGCACGTTCTTTCACCTTATTTAGCCTAAGAAAATACATGCAGTTACATCATTTTATATCGTAAATATACTCGGACTTTGTCTACATTATTGTGAAATCTAATGTCACGAAATCTAACTTCTCTGCGCTATAACTGTCAATTTCTAATCAATATTTAATCACAGAATAATCAAGTTTAGCATCACCTATTTCTTTCCCGACACATGGTTCCTGCATGGTGACACATGGTTCAGGTAATGGCGGTAATGCTAAGTGACCTGACAAGATCTGTGAATGCGTTCGTGTAAATTGTCTAAATTGCAAAATGGAAACTAGAACTATCGAGTGTGTAGCCTTTTACCACGAAGGTGCCAAAGGCGATTACTTTATTCAAGAAAATAAGTTTCGATACTGCGTCGATTCCAGTCATATGGGGAAGTGTAGTGAACGGCTACGCGAGCACGTTCGGTAGGTTTTATATTTGGTTTATACATGAAATGATATCAGTTATGTTCTTCGAAGCTATTTCAGCTAGTTTGCTTGTCTTGATCGTTAACTTATTAGACCTTTTCACGGTTTCTGTCGCCATATTGGTTGAGGGTGAGAACACGGCAAAATTTACAATAAATATATGGTAAAAGTCGGGAGTTTGATGCTCTATAATTTGAGGAAAGTTGACATTCTGAAATTTCTATGATTTACAAACTAAAGATACTGGTAAAACAGTTAACCAATTGAAGGGCATCGGAATCAGTGAAAGGTTCCGGCAATTCTACTTTTCTAGCAAAAGATCAACTCTTCTACTTGAAAAGAGCAGAAAAATTGACTATCAGCATTTATTTTTCATAGAACAACATGCAAAATTGTTGCCTTTTTTGTTAATGCTAGTCGATCAGGTGAAAAGTTAAAAAAAGGTACCTGTTTAGAAAAAAAAAAGCGGGTATTTTAAGCTTTCGAGTGAATGATATTTTAACGTCAATATTGTCCACTCTTCATCCATTTCTCACTTTACCAAACGATGATTTAAAGCGTGAAAGAGGTATCTTTTTGTCGCTTTCAAGGGATCTTACGAAAGGCACAAAAAGGTACCTTTTTTGCAGTTGGAAGTGATGTTGTTAAAAGTGCGAAAAAGGTTTCGTACCTTTTTAAAAATATAATATAGCGTTTTCAAGCGTTTGGAAAGCCAGTCAAATCCTACTGATTGACATATGTCAACCGTTGGCACCTGTTGAGCTTCAATGAACTATGCACGGACTTTTTTAGGGGATTCTAGGTGATCCTGTTAAAATTGAAATGATCTATAAGAGGAGTCAGCGGAATAAAAAGTTTTAGCTCCCTTCTTTTAGCCAAGATCAAAAGCGAGAAACTAGAAGACATCGGAAAATACTAGCCACCAGCCAAATGGATAAAATGGCTCCTGAAAATGTAACGACTTCTGGTACTTTAAAACTAGTGGCAAAAAGGGAAGCTCAGCAAGCAAAATTTTAAGCATGGAGCAAATGCTTTAATCTGAAAGAAGTCCTACATGTAGAGCAAAAGTGTTCATTTTCCTTTTCCTTTAAGTCTAAACTAAGCGGGTTCCCAAGCGGATCATTTTAATAACTGTCTTGTTTCGTGGGTGATGTTTTTCGCTCCAGAAAGGTTATTAGAGACTTCAGTCTTGGGGTTATTTTTTGTTTGCTATAATATAAATTATACATTAAATAATTTAACTTCAGGTGCTTTTTGAGCTACAGGCCGAAGTAAAACCATTAACAGCGAAAATGTCACCATACATGTACCTTTGACACTCCCTAACTAAATACTAAAGTAAGCCTGAACAACTGTCCTCTTCTCAGCCTTTTTGGACAGTAACCCAGCATTTTTTTCCGAGAACTTTGGTAATTTCCCGGAATTTTTTTTTTCAGAGAAAATAAATATTAGAAATTTTCAAATCGAAATTTTAATTTCTATTTAAAAAACTCTCAAAAGTCAAAATAAAAAAATTCAAATGCCACTGTTTAGACAATTGCCTGTTGGTGTATTAAAGCCATTAGCAAACATTCTTGCTGTTTTAACACTTACACGTATCATCATCGCGTCATCGCGCATTTTAGTGAATTTTTTTAGGGTGAGCATGTTGTTCGTAAAAATGATGGAGCATTAAGGTAAAGCATTTTAGCGAGGAAACAAAAAGCGTTATAAATGCACAAGAGAATGGCGCGGCTCCTCTTCAGGTTACTTATAACTGACACCTGTCATTCATTGATAACCACTAAACGTCCAGTGACAATGCTTCCAGCTTCACTCCGAGACGATCAAGATGGCTCACACCCATGCCAGAATCAAGCAAGGGGAATAGATTTTAAAACTGCGACCTGACACTGTTCATCAGTTACAGTGTCAAGCTCAGCAATTGGTTTCAAACTTGTCCAATAAATAGGGAATATTTATCTCTTGACTAGTGGATTAGTAAATTCAGACAAAAAATTCATAAAAATGACACCAAACGGTTGACATCTGTCAATCAGTAGGTTTCTAAATGGCTTCCCATGGCTTGAAAACACTATTAAAGGTACCTTTTTCGCGCTTTTGAGAACATCACTTCCAACTGTCAAAAAGGTACCTTTTTCGCGCTTTTAAGAACATCGCTTCCAACTTCAAAATCGGTACCTTTTTGGGCCTTTCATGAGATCGCTTGAAACCGAAAAAAAGTTACCTCTTTTGTGCTTTAAAACATCGTTTGGTAAAGTGAGAAATGGATGAAGAGCGGACAATATTGACGTCAAAATATCAATCACTCGAAAGCTGAAAATACCTGACTTTTTTTTCAAAAAAGGTACCTTTACTTAACTTTTAACCTAAACGACAAGCATAGACAAAAAAGGTAACAATTTTGCATTTTAATCTACGAAAAATGAATGCAGAGACTTAGTTTTTCTGCATTTTTTTAACTAGCAGAGTTGACCTTTTTGTAAAAAAGTAGAATTGCCGGAATCTTTCACTGATTCATCGGTTCGCTGAGAAGCGAGAAGTCTTACTTTTAGTTTTGAGACAAATTGGTTTCCCACTAACGGCAGCTCCATTTTACAGACAAATATCTTCTTGAAAATCGTCAAATTAGTTGTTTTACCGACAGGACATCAACCTTTCTTGTTTGGAGTTTCCACTCGCTTTGGGAGACAAGTTCGAATAAACAACAGACTCATTTCGTAAACGGTAAAGCTTCGTGCCAAGTGGCCCATACTGCCGGAGCTTATCCTGCATGGTTTCCGTAGCATTAAGCAGCTTGGAATATTTCTACTTCCCCCTGGATGGGATGCTAGTTCATCGCAGGGTTACCCCCAGCATCATTTCGCCGGTGCCCATTTATACACCTGGGTGGAGAGAGGCACTGTGAGAGTAAAGTGTCTTGCCCAAGAAGACAACGCAGTGCCCCGGCCAGGGCTCGAACTCGGACCGTGCGATCCAGAGTCCAGCGCACTAACCATTAGCCCACAGCGCCTCCCACATTCATTTCGTAAGATGAGAGTTATTTTCCGTAATCACATCCACTGGACTGTTATACTGGATTTTTGGGCCCTCACATTTAATGTTAGGATTGACAGCGACTCATGAACTATAAAAAAATCAAATTTACAAATTGATCGGTGAAATGATAAACTGGATTTTGCTCCTTATATTTAATGCTAAAATTGACGATCATTGAGTGCAAAACAAACTACGAGTAAATGAAACTCTGTATTTGCACCGGAAAACAAATGCAGTTTGCCGTGGCTAACCCTTTTACCCGTCTGTTGCCAAGTGAAAAAGATTATGGTCTCAAGACTTCCAAGATGAACCATGGAAAATACTTACTGGTAAGCAAATTACCATGAAGTTGAGTTCTGCCTTTTCCGAATTTTGTGGCTCGACTAGAAGCATGTCCAAAGTGATGTCAGTAAGCAAATTTATTGAAAAATCTTTTACGCAATACCAGATACTTTCATTTTTCAAGCTTGCAGACTGTTTGATTAGTCAAATCTGTATTGTTGGAAGAAACATTATAAGCTCTGTCCTTAATGCTTAATGTTTTGAAACTTGAACGAAAACTTCTTTAACATGAAGTCCCGCATCTGTTGCGATTACAGAACAACTATATTAAGTAATTCATTTTTTCATGCTACAATGCTACTTTCTATATACCAGGAAAAATTTTTCAAGTAAGACGGATTCGGATTCGAACCAAAATTAAGTCGGATCGACGGATCGGGCCTAAAAATACCACGGATCGGCGGATTTGCATACCCCTATTCACCCCCCTCGTAAAGGCTTTTTTGTTTTTGTTGTTGTTGTTTTTTCGTTGCTTGAAAATTACTTTGGATTCAGACCAACCAATGTTAGAGTAAAAACAGATCATTCCGTCAGTCTGAGGTGGAATAAAACGTTTTGAACATTTCCAAACAGGTTTGTATTTTTCTGATTCGATTTGTGACTTGATTTTGTGTCCAGTGCTTCACCTTCTTTCGCCGGGTTGAATTAAAACCTGCTTGTATTCTGTTATTAGTAGTTATAGTTACTTTTTTTATATGCCCAAATTTATTTACCTTTGCAGAACCAGCTTTATCCTTGTCTTCACTGAGTCAAAGAACCGTAACGGCTAATGCATGCGAGTGAACAACCTTGTGCGCTTTTAAGCTTTTAAGTTTTAACTATGAAACTTTCTCGGAACTTTAGAAGAGCAGCAAGCTTACTCGAGAAGAAAAGACTACTTCGATCATTTTTCTGTTGCTCAAGTAATAACAGTCAGAGTTTTTTTCCTTTAGTTTTTTTTAGTTTTAATTCCATAGTTTTGTTATCTTTCTGTACGCAAATCTTCCTTTCATTCGCTTTGAAGTAGCGGAGAACCTGGAGAACGACAACTGCCGGCAGTGACTCCAAAACAATCGACTCTTTGCCTGTAAACAATTGCTCAGGGAGTTGGATTTGACTGAAGCGAGCAAAACAAATCCTTATGTCAGTTATGTGCAGTTTTCTGTATTTTCTAATAATTCAGTTTGCTGAGTTTAATTTGCTTGAATGAAGACCCTCGCTTGGACCAGTTTTTAAATATAGCTAAATGGTGAATCATGGATTGGGTGCGAAGCTTGCAACTCATCTTTTGCTTTTAAGATCTTTAGTTAGGTTATTTTGCACAGAAAATTCACTTCTTCATTGTCAGCGGGTATAAGAGCCTTAAGCCTTATGTTTTTTTTGAATGAAAATTTGTTGTTTTGCAACCTTATCACTGAAGCTTTTTTTTTAGTTCACTTAAGCTGAATTTTATGCATGATGGATATGTTCTTTGCTTGTCGCCTCTCTTTGCGAGCTTAAAGTGGCGTCTATGGTCCTTAAAGTGACCTCGGTCGGTAATTAAATCATATACATAACTGGAGAGAAGTTTTCGCAATAATGTAACTTCAACTTTGTTTGAAGGAAATTTTCCTTGGTTTTTGACAGGTGTTATGCATGTTCAACTTGACAACACAAAGGAAACTTTATCTGCGCGAAACGATCAAGTTTAAAAAACTGTAGTTGCTTTGAAACCGATTTGGGGAAGATTTTACTAGATAAAGATTAACTCTTTTTCTGCCAACATATCAACGCCAAAACTTCTACATTGAGGATTTTGTTTATATTTTAGTGCTTTGCGAAGCGCAAGTGTCCGATCGAGCGTGGGTTTTAAAATATCAGCTCGAGTGCAACAAAGTTCAATAACTTCAAAAACATTTTGGGCAAGCGTGAATTTCTTTGGACAAATCACTATACAAAGATATTTTGTTTTTTGTGTCCACAGTGGAGCTCCAGACCTTATATATCCAGAAACGTCCTAAAATGAACACATTTTGTGAATACATTTTGAAAAAAATCGGACCTATGCACGCACATTTCCAGTACAGTGCAAGGAACTTAATGCCGTTGTGAAAGTCTGTTTTACTATGATGTATTCTTCGAGAAATTAAAATAATAAGGTTATAACCACAGCTTGTAACTTTTGAAGAAAAATTGCTTGTTCTTTCTAGGTTTATGGCCGCACAATCCACCACAATTTCTGCGCCAAGTCGACTCGTAAAACACTGTTTTGAATTTCCCGCTTTTTTTCACCTGACCAACATTGACGTCACAAACTGTTCTTAACGACAATTTTTCCGACCGCTCTACGAAGATAAGGGCCAAAAAATAACAATTTTTAATTGCAAATATCTCGGAGATGCTTGCTTCAATTGAGCTGAAACTTCATAGTATGTTTATTCGGTTCATATTAAACATATTTCACTAGAATTGAACTAAAATAAAAAATGTCGAATTTTTGGTTCGTTTGACCTTTAATTAAAATTATTACCGTTGTTTCACAACTGAAGATACAAAATGGAACGTACCAGTAAAACAAGTTAACAAATTGTGTATTTGTCGATATAATATCCTGTATATGTTATTGCTATTACATGTCAGTAACAATATTTTCTCTGTTTTGAATTAATTTACATAGGTTTTGAATTTCGCGTGCTTAAATTTCACGGCGATTTAAATTCGCGGGTCTTTAATTTCGCGAATATTTTACAATCGCGAAAAACGCGAAATTAGAGACCCGCGAAATTAAGTACATTAATAAGGTATTCCAACATGAGGATTGTAGATGGCCGCGCGGCTACCCGCGTGCCAGCCCCATGCGAAGCGAACTAGTCATTACTTGAGAAGCGAAAGACTTAGCGTGAAGCGCACAAGACGAGGGAAGGCGGAAAGAATTTTCCCTCCCCTTGTCTCGCCCTCTGTGTACGCCCCGCTTGCTCATAAAGCGCCTGCCGTGCAGGCTAATCCAGTCGTTTGACCTGTTTCTAGTATCAGGGACTTTAAGATACACCGTTTCTGCCTACAGGTACGGTTAGGCGAACATATTTGCCAGCCAGTTATACAAAAGGCGACTATGATTTCCCAGGTGAGATAATGCCATCACTGTTCCACCTGGTAGCCTACCCGTTTCTCCGGGGTAAGAGGCCATATACCGGTACATGTATTTAATTACAGCTACGCCTACGAGTAATTTACCCGTATCTGTACACGGAAACGGTGTACCTCTACTAATGCATGTTGGTATTCATCAGTTAATAATGCCGGACTGGGATTAATTACACCATTGCAATGTACTACAATGGAAATGGCAAAGGAATTGTTTGAAGTGAACTTCTTTGGTACCCTGCGACTGATCCAAGCTGTCCTGCCAGGCATGAAAGCGAGGCAGAATGGGTGCATCATTAACAACAGCAGTCATGGTGGTATTGTTTCTTGTCCCTTCCTTGAGCTTTACTGTTCTTCAAAGTTTGCAATGGAGGGCCTTATTGAGGGGATGGCGCCCTTGATGCTTCATTTTAATATCAGGTACTAAATGTACGTTTACTCGACCACAGAATCCGCCGTACGGAAAAAGATTGCGACAGTACATTTTACCACAATTCCTTTCAAAGTCTAACACGGCCAATTAAACATAAACTCATATTTTGAGGGGCAGGGGTGGAAGGGAGGGGGGGTGGAGGGGGATTTGTCCGTTTAAAAGAAAGTTGCCCGGGCGGGTGTTGGAGGTTTTTAAAATTGTATTGTTTAGAGGTGGGTCGGGGTTGTGGCGGGTTGTGGGGATTGGGTTTTTATTGCATTTTTTCAAAAACAAAGTGAAATTATGACCAAGCAACGCGCAAAAACAAGGAAAAAAAGAAAAATATCACAAACTATTATTTAAACCGACGTACTCAAACAAAGAAGAAAACACAAAGAGAGAGAGAGGGGGGGGGGGGGGGGGGGGGGGGGGGGGGGGGGGGGGGGGGAAGGAATTCGTCCCTGTAATAGCAACCTTGCCCAGCCTAGGTTCGAAGTTTATAAAACTTTTCTGTGCGTTTTTATGAGCAATTTTATGGTTTTCATACGCTAAGAACTGTGGGTAGATGTACCAGTCGCCATCTATTTAGGTACGGTCAAGAGCCAATTACTTGGTAAGGTGAATAACCCTTGAAAAAAATCGTTAATTAAAACAATAAGATTAAAACTTTTTACCCCATTTACACGCCCCCAAAAATCTGCACGGCACACAATCTGTGTAGCCTCGAGAGGATTGTCCAATACCAAGAGCCATAATATGGCAATAGCTATAATATGACTATGGCTATAGCCTATTATGGCTCTTGGTACACTGCATGATTGGGGAACTGGTTGGCTATCAGGCTCTTTTTTGCTGTTGCTCAGTCAAGTGTAATTGTGAGGTGATTGCAAATGGCCATGGCAGACTATTTAATTTTGGCAAATTATATAAATGTTTCAATGACCATCTAATCTTCTCTTCCTCGGTCCAACGCACACCACACACAAAGAAAGTGTCCCTGGTCCCCGCGACAGAAACAACTGTTCCTCCATACAGCAAGGCCGGGGAAAGCGGAATTTTCTTCTTGTGATTATCCAATAATATTGCCAAAATAATTTATGCAGTTATCTTTCATTGGCTGGCAGGTGTGCTATCCTGGAACCAGGTCCCGTGACATCATCAATTTTTGGCAATGTGGAAGCCTGGACAAAAAAGTATGACAGGCCAACCACTGATCCGAAGACCACAGAAATATTTCAGACCTTTGAACAAAGGTTTTATTCGGCATTTGATGAGAACATGGTACAAAGCGGAAGTGAAGTCGCAGAGATTGTGAAAAATATCATACTCAGCGAGAAGCCAAACCTACGATACCATACAAATGAGAAGTTTAATCCGGAACAAGTAAAGGCCAAACTCTCTGATCCCACTGGTAATGTTCTGTTTGATTTGATAAACAAAACGTATCTTGTTAAAGAATAGTCCGTATTGCTCCTTTTACCAGCGCCGATGGTCCTTGTTATTTAGTATGCTGTATTCATTTTGTAAAATCATATGACACTGTAAGCAAACTCGTTCATGATTTGTCAAGCAATAAATGGTTCAATCGTTCGTCATTTTCTAGTCTGTTGCAAATAGCAGTTTTCGTAACTAGAGGGATGATCACCACCATGATACTGCAGGTCGTCGTCACGAAAACCACAGTGATGTTATCACTAGTTATCGCTGCCCGCGTCTGACAACCATCTTCGACGCTAATCATATCTCCAAGATAATTGTGATCACAATCATTAATTAAATCATTGCCATTCATCACTTCCAATACCTACAACTATTACAAGTACCACCATTATACTGTCTGTTAACATTGCCATTACCATAGTTTTTAACACTATCGGCAGCATATAATCGAGAAAAACAACCTTTAAATGAGTGTTTATGAGCATCACCATCACTATGAAAGCCACCGACCATCAAGTCCGTATTCATAACGCACAAACGACTTATTGACGGACCCAAACAAAACTGACAACGACAGAAACGACTGTAACTGACAATTTGACTAACAATAAATGACTGTTCAACTGTGACAAAAAGACAGATCGAAACGGGCCAATGACATTTAAGTCTTCATAGCCAATAACATCACAGCTTAACTGACAGACGACCAATGACATTCCAACTTAATTGACCAATCAGGTCATACAACTCACTTTGACTCTGAAGGTGACTAGCGTTGTCGAAACGTCAGTCACTGTCAACAACAGTCCTATTCAGGACTACGCTGTGTAAGAGTAAAGACAATTAGCAATACAAATTTGGCAGTGTCAAGGCGAGCGATTTGCACCATTTCTTCTGCTCTGCCAAAAAAGGCAACCTATTCCCCAGTGCTTCTCTGTTAGCGTCCTATTTTCTCGCGATTACCCTGTACTTTTGACGTCATTTGCCGAATATCGCAAACGTCTTCCATATTTGGTCAACGCTAGCTGGTTATGGATAATTAGCCGTGGGATTTGAGCCAATCAGAAGCAGAAATGTTTTGAATGAATTACAACCATCATGATCATCACCAACATCTCTCAGAAAACAACAACAATAACATTCTGATCGGTTTTGGGGTTCGAGGAGTGGAGCGGAGCTTCATTAAACCATGAACGCGGTATATTTTATCCTATATTTCTCGTGTGAACGGACCGCTGGATCCAGGATACTACATAAAAACTTTATTTTTCACACTTGTTAGAAAAAATGCCATACTTTTTAGGATTAATGAATCGAATAAAATTCACCTGTTTTTTGTTTGCACTTGCCTTTCAATTAATTTTAGGTACAAGAGACTTTCGCGTCCGTTAATTTGAGCCATTTAGCAAATAAGTGCTCATTCAAGTCAATATTGTGTCATACTTGTCAGCCATCATCTTATCTTCGGTCTCCTTCATGCAAAACTCATTAGATAACAAAGCAGCTTTTTACAATTTCGCGAATTTCTCGATATCGACAAAAGTAGACTACAGGGTTAAGACAGGAATTTAGGAAAACAAAAAATAAAGACGCATGGTAAGCTAACAGCAGGGACGTTTGCTTGCCGGTGATCAGCAATAAAACCGCAGAAAAGAAATGCGGAAGATAACAAACCAGGAAAACTACGTAAACGACCAAACTATTCAAAGCAAATCTCTTCTGTCGCTGTTGATCCGGCGTGGACTGCTGGTTTCGTATTTGATTGTGATGATATCTTACTGCTTTGTAAATACGGATATAAGCCACAGTTGTCAAGGAAACTCCAAGAAATACAACGACTGCATTTACTATACTATTGCCTGCCAAAATGGTAATAAATAGGGAGGCGGCGATGCCACTTGTGAACCACACTGCTATCAACGCAAAGCTGGCAAGCGTTGATGTCACGAATTCGCGATATCGAAGATGCAGATGTATAGCCAGGAGTCTATCGACAGCAATGACTGAAATAGTCAGAAACGACGCGCAACAGAGGAGAAAAAAGATGAAGTAACAGGAAGTTATAACAACTGGACATAATGAGGCAAAATTAGCGTCTCCGTTCGATTTCATGTTCAACATCACCGCGATGATAATACCAGACGTTGATTGTCCTAACGTTCCCACTGCAAGATCCGACAAAGCAAGACTCAGGAAAAGCTTCTTCATAATGGTGGGTATCGATGAGCATTTCCACAGCGCGTAAATAACTAAAAGATTTTCCACAACTGCCAGCACGGAAAACGCCAGGTTTAAAATACAAAAAACCAGCATACTAGTTCCGTGAAACTGCACAAGTGAAGATAACTCATAAAGCTTTTGAGTACAGAACTGAGAGACCATGGTAAAATAAATTTAAGTCCTGCAGGTCTTGTTGGAGACTTACTGAGAACTAACGTGAACTTAGTAATTGGCCAACCTTATAGGCGCTGTATAAAACAGCTTACTCTTGACAAGACATGTCATAACAGTGCATTTAGGTTTTAATCGTCATCTTTATACATGAGTGTTTTTTCCTTAAAAGCAAACATGGCAGGTGGAATATTGAGAATATAAGGGAACGTACAACAACGTACACTGAACGACGACGAATTTTGATATCTGAGCGGAAAAATCACAAATGATCGAGGAGTTCGAGAAAAGATAGTCTGAGTTTTATCAAGAGCATCTCCACTGCTTTCGCAGTCAGTCGTAGTTCAGTAAGTTCGCCTTTAATTTTTGTAATCAAACAGTGAAATTTTCTAAAAGCCAGATATTTAAAACTGATTCTGTAATATTGTGCATGTTTTCTTTGCTGGTTAATGACGTCTCTAAATATTCACCTGGTCTACTTATAAAGTCAAAAACTGTTAAATGATTCGGACACCCCATTATTACGGACAGTTTTCATTATCCCCGGGAAAGAAAGGCATTATTTTTTGTCAACTTGTTTAATACGGACATCCCTGTTAATACGGACACTTTCTATGGCCCCCTAAGTCCGTATAAAGAGGCTTAATTTTTAAGTTGACCCAGGTTATTTAGTATTCAAATAAATATTTAAATGACTTAATCGCTTGTAAAACATGTCAATTTATACATGAAGCGTGTTGAGTTTAAGGTTCAAGTAATTAACACAAACCCACTTCTAACCTGTTTCCACAAGAAAAATAGAAGCACCTTATCGACGCGAGCAATGAAAAGTTTATCTGAGCAGAAATATATTTTTTTTCTTAAAAATCAGCCTACTATATGAGAAAATATTATTATCTATCTTGCGAGTATAATGTCTAATGAGAAAAATTGAGACAGTCGTATACGGCCCAAAAGAAATACTTTGCTCAAGCTAAGGTACTCTGTAATTTCGCGAGGTGGCTTTGTCCAGTCTTTATGCATGTAGGTCAAAATCAAATCTCTACATCAATCGGTCCTGGACTTGTACAATTTGTCTTGGTTCTTCTATTTTACTGTCCAAGGTTACAAAGAGACAACTTGCATAATTGTGTATGACATCTGTCTCAAAATAATAGGATGGAGGTTTTTCTGGTAACTTTCTTAGTACTGTCATCGAAACTGGAAGATGCCATCGGTCCGTCCGGGGCTGAGCTATGCTATGAGACTGCGACCAATGTCCCCGTTTCGTTAAAAAAAAAAAAAAAAAAAAAAAAAAAAAAAAAAAAAAATTTAATTAAAAACAAAAAAAAAAAAAAAAAAAAAAAAAAACAATAACGATTTATCTTCAACCGTTGAGGGAAGTTTAAAGTATCCAACCAGAAATTCCAAATCCTGTTGAGCTGGAACGCTTTTCAGTAATAACTTTAACGTTGATTCAGTTATCGGCTGAGCGAGATCAATTTGTGGAGGTAAAACAAGCAACAAAAATGTGCAATTAGTTCTGCACCATTGCTGCAAAACGAGTCGAATAGCGACGTTGCGCATTTTACCACCCACGATCAAACCTGCCTTGCAACAAATAAGGTGGTTACAGGTTGCTAAGAGTTGCTTCAGAAAGTGTAGGCTGGTTATACTTTTTGCAAAAAAATCTGTTTATGTTGGGCTTCAGTTACCGGCCCAACGCAAACTTGTTTTGTAACTGAACAAGTGACGCAACTCCAGTGTATGGCGCGACTCCTGTGACTTTTATCCAGTCAGAATTCAGTATTCACGCAAGTTGCAACTATAGTAGCTGATTCATTGCAAAACCGGTTTTAACGAGGGTGGCAAAACGAGCAAAATTGCTTTTCAAGGCTTTCAAGTTGTTCGCAGCAATGATGCAAAACAACTCGCCGTTTTTGTTGCTCATTTTTCCAATAGTTTACAATACACCTCTCAGTTGTCATGGCAATTTAAATTGAGAAATGCCTCTTAACTTTCAACTAACTTAATCTTGGCATGCGTGTGGCTGTTTTGTCATCATGACTATTTCTTTCCTTTGAGCTTATTAAAAGTGAATCCGGCTTGCATCGTTGCTTATATACATTTAGTTGCTACGTGTTCTGTCGTGAATTGTAAAATACCTGTCGTAAATTGTAATAACAATCGTGGTAAATTGTAATGACAGCTAGTTATCGAGAATTGTAATAACCAAGCTATCGTAAATTGTAATAAACGTTGTTGTAATTTGTAATAAGCCTAGCTGTCGTGAATTGTAATAACCGTATTTTGCAATACTTCATAATGTCAAGGGCTTATCCACTGAAATTTTCTTGTCAATCAAAAACATTTAACCTATAATGTAGCCAGCATTAACACATCATACGGAAGAGTACATTAATTTTACCCTGCGAGCAGACGTTTAAGAGAGAAATCTCTGCTCGCAGGGTAACTAATACGGGCTCTTAAGAATTAGCTTTACTGTGTGCGAAGTAACCTCGATATTTAGTGTTGTTACTTCATGCGATTTGAGAATGGGAAGAACGCAAACAGCAAAGTTTTTGCGTCCATCACGAACGCGTGGAGCGAAGCAGAAGTGTTCTGGGCGTGCGTAGACTGCGAGCAGTCTCTTATTTTTATTTGCAAAGTTACTGCACGCGAAACGTAAGCACGCGAGCGGCGAGGCCTCTTGTCGAGAGAAACGAGGACGTAAGCTCGTCTCGTCTCAATCCCCAAATATGCAATCGCGCTGGATGAGATAAGAACTGGACAGTTTTGAAGAGAAAAGGCGGACTGCAAGAAGTCTAGGGCGTGCGAGGCTCAACGCGCAAAACGAAAATTTCACACACAGCGAGAGACTTGATTTTGAGGGAAAAACAGACTGTTTTGAAGTCTAGAAAACGATAAGCATACCATGAAAAATTATTCTATATAACGAACAAAAAAAATTAACTACACATATCGCTTTAAGGGAAAGGGCGTGAAAAATAGGCTCATCAGAGTTAATCAGCATTTTACGCGACAGAAAGTGGTTACAAATAAATGACCTTGCTCGATATTGCTGCGTTGTGATTGCCACCTCACTTAACAGATAATATATATAAATAACCATTGACGTCCAGCCCAGTCAAACTCTTTAATTTAAGGCTCGGCGTTAGCAGGTTTCTGACTAGGCGTTTTGTATAACTGGCCATTGGTGATTTTAAATATCGAGCATTTCTTATTTCATCAGTACTGCGCCTGCACCACGGAGCATGACGCTAGATTACAAAGTAAAATTATTCAGTCTTCTTTGTTCTGGATCATCATGACCAAGCTTCTTACAAACGCATAAAATAGCGAAGTTCACTGACTCAGAGTTAACGAAAAGCGATACAAGTACGTGTGAAGCTAAAGAAAATACAAGCAAGGTAAGGTGCTGATCTTTTTTCGAATTCATTCACTAGATTTGGTACGTACATATTTCGAATGTTAGGCTTCTGAAGATTATTTACATTGAAAGCTTAAGTTTGGAAATCCGAATTTCAATAACACTCAAATGGTTTCTGTAGCATCAAGTTACAGATTTAAACCGCTAGCTCCTAAGGGTAAAAAAAAAAAAAACATGTATAGATCTCCCAGTGGCATTCTTTTTTCGTGACCACTGAAGTTATGGAAGTTAAAAATATTAGCTTAAGTTCATGTCAAGTAATCGTGCCTGTTCGTCCCTGTCTAAAGACAGCGAGTTTTAATAGTTTTTACGCAGGTGCACAGCAATATAACCAAAAACACCTATATCCGGCCACAACCGCAACGGGAAGTGGGTGCAAAGTTGTTGATTTACTAATCTACACCTACTGCTTTTTTGCCGTTCTCGTTGCCGAGTTGCCTAGAAATATTACCATAGGATAGAGACGAATTCCTTTCTCTCTTTCACAGTGCTTTGTAACCTTTTAGCTGTTGTTTGGATACACTAAAGACCGAATCAGATGGCTCCTCAAATCGTGCTCATCTCCGGTTGTTCTAGCGGCATTGGACTCGCTACCGCTGTGCTTCTCGCTAAAGATGCCGAGAAACGCTTCAAGGTTTACGCCACTATGAGAAATCTGGCGAAGAAAGGACAACTGGAGGAAGAAGGGAAGGATCAACTTGGGGACACTTTGATTATCAAACAGATGGATGTGTCGAGTGATGAATCCGTCAAGAAATCCGTACAAGAAATACTCGATACTGAGGGAAAAATCGACGTGCTGTGTAAGTTGCCATAAAGTAGAAGCTTTCAATCCTCGGGGTTTTGACCCCCACCTCCCCAAGTTTTTAGGTTACCTTGCAATAATTTTCAGCGATTTTAAACAATTCACAGAAAGACGTGATGAGATCTAGAAGATGTTGTAAACACATAAATGACCGCCAACTTCATCTTAGGTGTTATAAGACGTCAAAGGAGGAGCAAGTGAAGAAACGGAGGTCCTAAATATATATACAAGCCTGGGTTTTAAAAAGAAAATACCAGAACTGAAATAAAAAGGGGTGGAGGGTGGGGGGAGAGGCGGTGTATCTTCTCAGCCCCGCGAAATATATGTTGGGCCCATGACAGCACCACCGTCGATACCAATTAGATTGAATATTAATATTATGACAACTATACGTCAATGTTCAACTTACAGTTAACAATGCTGGATTAGCATTATCGTCCCTGTTGGAGTGTGTCCCAATCAACATGGCCAAGGAATTGTTTGAAGTGAACTTCTTTGGTACCCTGCGATTGATCCAAGCTGTTCTGCCAGGTATGAAAGCAAAGAGGAGTGGCTTCATCATCAACAACAGCAGCCATTTTGGAATTGTTGGCCCGCCATTCTACGATCTCTACGCTGCGTCTAAGTTCGCCGTGGAGGGACTTACTGAAAGTCTGGCCCCTGCTTTGCGTCATTTTGACATCAGGTGCAGTGTTAACTCTCTGTCGCAATAGAATTTTTTTATTCAAAAGAATCCTAATATAGCCTGCGTCGCAGAAGAAATCTAACCCCCGTTAGTAACGTCTGCGAAGCAGCAACTGTATCCTTGTTCTGGGCTCCCTTGGGACTCAAAGAATAACCGGAAGTGCGTTTCGAATTTTCTTTCAAGCTGATTGGCAATTTGACAATGGCCTTTTTAACAGGCCAATATGGTGGGTACCCAAACCCTATAGTACAAGTATGCATAGGTGGGGCCTTGACCAATTAAAAATTTCAACGCTGTTTCGCAGGCAGACTTAACCAGAAGTTTAGTCTCTCCTGTGGCCCAGGCTAACCTTAATACTGCTCTCCAGGTAACATTAAAAATCTGTTACTTTGAAAGTGAGGCATGTTGACCCCCTTTCCTTATATTTCATGAGTTTCCATGAACTTCAGTTGTGATGCCTGTAGATCGTAGGCCAGAGTGGGATCCATCCTCGTTCCTTGGGTTTTGACCTATTCGCCATAGTCGGAGAGAGCCATGGGAACGTAGTTGCGTTCGATCTACACTTTATCAACCCCAGTCTGCACGTAGCCAAGCCAAGTTTGAGCGGCTAGCCATTGTCTAGCGCAACAGCCAGAATAAAGTCATAACTTGAGGAAAGGTTTCTGAACAAGGCTACAGAATAAAAGTACATCAATTTATTAAACAGACTGATTCTTTAATTCAGAGACAATAGTACTACAACGATAGAGAAAAGTAACTATATGTTTTGTAGGCTTTGACGGCAATTGAACGCGACCATTAATTTTTAGTATAATAGAGCAGGCACCCGAAAAGCGCTCAAGATCCAAGGTTCAGTTTACCCCGTATCATTCGGCATCACTCAGCACATTCAGAATGTGCTTTGACCACGCAAATGTGTCAACAGTTTTCCTTTCAATTTTAAACTGTTTTTCTCTGTCCGGTTAACAGGTGTTCGCTACTAGAGCCAGGACCTGTAATGACACCAGTAATGGGAAACATGGAAGCTTGGATGAAGAAATACGACATGCCAACCGCTGACCAGGAGAGTTTGGAATTACAGAAAACATTTATGGAAGGCCCTTTTTTCCAAGGGATGCTCGCCAATCTCCAAGATGTAAACGAACTCGCTGCAATGGTGAAAAACATCATACTCACTGACAAACCAAACCTTCGATATCATACAAATGCGAAGTTTAACCCCGATGAAGTTAAGGCCAAACTTGCTGATCCTACTGGGAATAATATGGTTGATTTGATGGTCAAAAAGTACCTTGTTAAAGAATAGTTTCAAACTTGCCGAACCTACTGGCAAATTTTTGTTAGAATAATCTTAAAGAGGTTCTTACCAGTGGATGATTAAATACATGTGAAACTCTCTCTCGACACGCTGTAAGTGCTTAAGTATTGAAAAGTAGGCAAGAGCAAATGACTTCAGCCTTTAAATGGCGATTCTAAATGAGCTGTTTGTAGAATTTTGAAATAAAGTTTGTTGTAATTTCAGGGCTGTCAACCCTCACGTCTTCCCTTCCCCACTTCAGCGATTAATCTGATAATATTGCAAATATGCGTGCTTTACGTGCTTAACATTTCAATATGTACTTGCTTGTTATTAATATTATGTATTCAGTTTTGCTTGGTTAGCTACGCTTGTACTTTCTGGTTCACATACATTAAAAGTCTGTTCATTTTGTTACTTGACTGTGTCACGCGAAATTTCGTCGTCTTATTTCAATTATCCAGGAAATTTCATACTCTAATCTGGAGACCGGTAGATGCAGTCCAAAATCTCGGCCGGGTTGTTCGAAGCTGCAATCGGCGACAAAATGAGTTGAGACACTTCGCCCAAAATTAGGATTTTTTACGTTTTATGAACTTCAAAAGGAGGAAATATAGCTTTCCTCCCCCATCCCCTCCGTACAATGTTGTGCCCTTGTTCTAGCTACCTATAGAAAACAACAAACACCCCAACTTTGAATGGAGGGGAATTTTATGAACTTCAAAAGGAGGAAATATAGCTTTCCTCCCCAATCCCCTCCGTACAATGTTGTGCCCTTGTTCTAGCTACCTATAGAAAACAACAAACACCCCAACTTTGAATGGAGGGGACAGGGGAGGGGTGCGGATTCTTTTGTTCTCCAAAGTCACCCTATTTAAGTACAATGTCTCAACAATTTTGTCGCCGATTGTGGTTCACTTCGAAAAGACCTAATTTCGGTTATAGCCCCCTTTGAAGAATTGTGTTGCAAACCGAAATATCGTGCAAATATATATAATTCACTACTTTATTTTTGTTTCCTTTCTATATTTTTTTCTTCACTCTTCCTGCCGTAAGGATCAGTTTACTGTTTTAATATTAAAATTTTTGTGCTCAAGATTTTACTGATCCAGGTCTACTAAAGTTCTGGCTGACCCTCACTGGTTTGTCGTTGTGGTTTTGCCTTCACAAGTGCTAGTGTTTCTGGGTTAAGATAGGCCAGGGTTTATAGTGCGAAATTTGAATTCAGATATGAAAACTTTAAAAGCTAATTCAGTTTAATTCTCTTTGTCTACACTTTGGTGGGTTGATGCTCTAAAAAATTGGCGAAAATTTGAACAAAAGAGAAAGAAACCTGGGTTAAAATTTAACCCCGGGTTATAGCTAATCGGCCTTGAAACAACTAGACCCTGGAGTCTCCCGGATTATCCGGTAGCCGTTGAAAGCACTGTAATTTTGACTACCGTTGTAGTACTGTTGTCTCTGAATTAAAGAGTCACCTGTTTAATAAAAAGTACTTTTATCGTGTGGCATGTTGAGAATCTTTCCTCAAGGTCTGACATTATTCTGGCTGTTGAACTATTCAATTACCATAGCCGCCTAAATTTGGCTTTGATACTTGCGGACTGAGGTCAATAAAGTGTAGATCGAACGCAACTTCCTTCCCATGACTCTCTCCGACCATGGCGAATAGGTTAGAACCCTGGGAACGAGGCAGGATCCCACGCTGTGCTACGATCTACATAGTCTCCCTCGCAGCCGTATTTGTCTTATCACGCAACGCTTCTCCCCGCTCACATTCGATCAGAGCTAATCACAGCCATGGTTCTATTTTCTGGAACTGTTTCGCGCCAAATGATCCTTTTACATGCCGTCCAATCATAGCTTGCATGTTGACTAGTCTTTTCGAAATTACAAGGGCTTCAGTAAAATTGTCCAAAGACAGCCATTTCAATAGTTAAGACGCATGTGCAAAGCAATTTACCACCCCACCCCCCTCCCAACGCCAAAAAAAAATGAAGAAACAAAAACAATCTCCAGTGGACGTGCAACGGGATGAGCGCTTGATGTAAGCCAATTGAAGAACCTTTTTAGGGGGAATTAGCCAGGTTCTCACAACATACAGATGATAATTTTGTTTAACTGGCTCTTCTATATTCAGTCCACTGTCAAGAAGTTAGTCCACTTCTATTGCTAAACCAGAGTTACACCCATTTTTATATCAGCCAGAAAACCAGCTGCCTAGTGCAAACTAATGCTGAGTAAGTCTAATCTGATTGGCTGAAACAGCCTTAATAGCATGAAACCTTCGATATAATTACTTTGTCAAAAAGGTTTTTATATCTAAGTTTTAACTATTAATCTTAAGTCAACTGGCCAATACAAAACAACGTGAACAATATAAAAACTACAAGATATCTACACGCGTATTGACTTTTCACATTAACAGATAGGAAAGTAGTAAAATTACAGTTTGAAAATCCTGACTTGTTGTCGATTTCGGAGAGATGTGAAGTTTCTTCTCGGAAACTGATTGGTCAAAACTTTTCCATAAATTAAGTACGGACGTGATCGAAAAACTATGAGGACAAATTAAAAATGAAGTTCGCGATAGAGGGCAGAAATTACAACAATAGATATTTACTTTAATCATCACTATTATCATTAAAATATTTTAAATTGCAAGTATAAACCATCCATTATATGAATTTGATCGAAAACACGGGAAACAAGCTAAAAATTAACCAAAATAAGGATAAAGACCGTCAGTTACTGTAAATCTAGAGTAGGAGTCAAGTCCGAGGTTGAAATATCAACCTTTTTTTTTCATTTATTGTTGTATGTAATTCAGTTTTACTTTCGCTTTTGTAAGTGGTTGGTGTGTTGCCTAACCGGCTTTTACCAACCTAATCGTGGTGATGATGATGATGATGAATATCAAACCATGCGATATTTTTAAGTGTAAACTGAAGTCTTTGTTGCATGGAAACCTTAATTGAACATTATTTTACGATAAAAGGGTTGTCGTGGAAGTGGTGGAAAGGTATTACAATAGAACATATTTGTTTAAGAACGAATTCATGACAGGAGAAGGTTTATGTTGATAACTATTTTAAACGTCGAACTTGTAGACGAAAGTGAAATTCTAAACACGAGTCTTAGCTTATTGATACCCGACATAACATCCCGATAAAATATCCTTTACTTAACTTATCATACAGTAACTCACTCAAGAACATCCACTTAATTTTAAGCATAAATCAAACGGGGTAAGAGTAAAGAAGATCAAAGCTAAACTTTCCATTACTTGATGTTTAACACTTTTATACCCGGTTCTCGTTGCCAAAGTTGCATAAAAATACTTACCATATACATAGAGTAGAGACTTACCCCCTTCTTTCCTGCACAGAACATTGTGACGTTTGAGTAGTTGTTTGGATACACGTGCACTAAAGATATGGCTCCCCAAATCGTGCTTATCTCCGGTTGTTCTAGCGGTATTGGACTCGCTATCGCTGTACTTCTCGCTAAAGATGCTGAGAAACGCTTCAAGGTTTACGCTACCATGAGAAACCTGGCAAAGAAAGGAAAACTGGAGGAAGAAGGAAAGGATCAACTCGGAGACACTTTGATTATCAAACAGTTGGACGTGTGCAGTGATGAATCCGTCAAGAATACTGTACAAGAAATACTCGATGCTGAAGAAAAAATCGATGTCTTGTGTAAGTATCCATAAAATAGGAGAGTTTTGAAACCTTCCTCCCTAAGGTTTTCGACGTCGTAATAATCTGCAGCGATTAAACATTTGACAGAAAGTCGAGTCTGCTACGTCTACAAGATCAGTTATGAACATAAAAAAAACAAAGAACTGCCAATTTAATCTTATATCTTATACGAGTTTAAATGAGGAGCAATGAGGAACTGACGATAAAGGGTTCTAGAATGATAAACCCTTTTAAAAAATTCGACAAAGAAAAAAGGAAATGGAAGGGATGAGGGTGAGGTAGAGGCGTGGCATCTACTCACCCCTTCCCTACCCCCCTCTAGAAATATATATTAAGACCATGATAGGCTGACTTCGACACCAAGTATTAGAATGAATATTAATGTATGATATAATTATGATAACTATATGTTGATGTTCACTCTTACAGTTAACAATGCTGGATTGGCATTGTCGACTGTGTTGGAGTGTGTTCCAATCAACATGGCCAAGGAATTATTTGAAGTGAATTTCTTTGGTACCCTGCGACTGATCCAAGCTGTGCTGCCAAGCATGAAAGCGAGGAAAAGTGGCTGCATCATTAACAACAGCAGCCATTTTGGAATTGTTGGCACGCCATTCTCCGATCTCTACGCTGCGTCAAAGTTCGCCGTGGAGGGACTTACTGAAAGTCTGGCCCCAGCTTTGCTTCATTTTAACATCAGGTGCAGTGTTCACAATCTAACCCAAGAGAATTTTTTGTTTAAAAGAATCCTAATATAGCCTGCGTCGCAGAAGAAATCTAACCCCCGTTAGTAACGTCTGCGAAGCGTCAACGGTATCCTTGTGCTGGGATCAACTTCGGACTCAACGAATGACCGGAAGTGCGTTTCGACTTTCCTTTCAACCAAATTGGGAAATCAACAATGGCTTTTTCAATATTATAGGCCAATATGGTGCGTACTCAAACCCTGGCACACAACAGGCAGTTGGGGCCCAGACCAAGGATTTCGGCGCTGTTTCGCAGACAGACTTAACCAGAAGTTGTCTCGCCTGAGGCCCAGGCTAATTTTAATCTTCATACTGCTCTCCAGGAAATATTAAAAATCTATGGATAGTTGTCTAGTTCCTTTAGCTTGAAAGTGAAGCATGTTGACCCCCTTTCTTTATTTATCATGAGTTTCCATGAACTTCAGTTGTGAGGCCTGTAGATCGCAGCCGTTTTTGTCTCGTCACGTAACGCTCCTCCCCAACAACCGGCTGCTCACATTCGAACCACATTCCTTTCCAAATGACCAATCATTTATCAGTAAACTGAAATTAACGTCAGTTTTCTCGCAAAGAATGAGCCACAGCGGGCCAGGTCCTGTTTCGCTTTCATAAAAACTGAATCGAAGATTGAGGTTTTCCGCGGCAAAAACTGAAAAGCACATCTAGCCCTGAAATGGGTGACTTTAAACTGTATACTTCTTGATATAAAAGCTGGATCAGTAAATTTGCCATTGAGGAAATTTCTTTTTTTGGCAAAAAACAGCTAATTGTTATCAGATTATCAGCATTGTCCATCAGTCCTGTCACATGAAGACGCAGACGAGATAAGGTCAGATAAAGCCTGATAAAGCATACGAGTTTCTAAAAAATCATTGGAACTGCAAAAAACACAAATACTGCTTTAGGTGGACGTCAGTTTCAATAGGCCATTTGCATGATGGCGTCATTTTACTACTATGACCAGGATCCTTCAGGGTTTTGCTTTCTTGTGCAAATTAGGGCTTTTGTTTTTTTTAGCCTCACTGGGGCTACCAAATTTAAATATGAAAAGAAAACCCAAAAGAATTCTGGCCGTAGTAGTAAAATGACGCCATCGTGCAAATGGCCTATTCTCTCCCTAGATAACTAGTCAAATCGACGCAGTTTCAAGTCTGTTTGTTTATTTCTAATGTACGTGACGAGACAAAAATAAAAACGGCATTCTGGAAGACAACTTGACACCATACATGATAAGATAGAATACAAGCTATGATTGGACTGCATGTAAAAGGATTTTTTGGCACGAAACAGTTCCAGAAAGTAGTAAGAATCATAGCTGTTATTGGCTCAAATCGAGAAAAAAATGTGGTTCGAATGTGAGCAGGGAGGAGCGTTGCGTGACGAGAGAAAAACGGCTGTGAGGGAGACTACGTAGATCGTAACACAGCGTGGGATCCAACCTCCTTTCCAGGGGTCTGACCTATTCCCGGTGGTCGGAGGGAGCCATGGGAACGAAGTTGCGTTCGATCTACACTTTATCGACCCCAGTCTGCGCGCAGCAAAGCCAAGTTTGAGCGGCTAGCCATTGAATAGCGCAACAGCCAGAATGATATCAGAACCTGAGGAAAGGTTTCTGAACAAGGCTATAAGATAAAAGTACTTTTCATTAAACAGGCTGATTCTTTAATAAAGAGACAACAGTACTACAACGGTAGAGAAAAGTAAGTATATGTTTTGTACGCTTTGATGGCATTTGAACGCGACCATTAATATCTAGTATAATAGAACAGACACCCGAAGAGCGCTCACCAAGATCTAAGGTTCAGTTTACCTTCTTTTATGTTAGTTTATTCTATTTACTATATAGTAGTGTCTTCACTGTTATTTAGTCCATCTATATATAAACCTTGTGCCTGTAATATGTCTTCAGCTCCCCCCGCTTCGATTAGTTTATAAACTATTTGCGGGTGGGAAAGTAATGTAATTAGTTATATTTCCAATTTTTTTCAATAAAATTTGTTTCGTTTTGTTTTTTTGTTTTTATCCCGTACCATTCAGCATCACTCAGCACAATTAAAAAGTGCTTTGACCACGCAAATGTGTCAACAGTTTTCGTTTCAATTTCGAACTGTTTTTCTCTGTCTCGTTAACAGATGTACGCTACTAGAGCCAGGACCTGTAAAGACATCAGTAATGGGAAACATGGAAGCTTGGATGAAGAAATACGACATGCCAACCGCTGACCAGGAGAGTTTGGAATTGCAGAAAGCATTTAACGAAGGCCCTATTCTTCAGGGGATGCTCGCTAATCGCCAAGATGTAAACGAATTCGCTGTAAAGGTGAAAAATATCATACTCACTGACAAACCAAACCCACGGTGTCAAACACATGAGAACTTTAACCCCGATGAAATTAAGGCCAAACTTGCTGATCCTACTGGGAATGTTATGGTTGATTTGATGGTCAAAAAGTACTTTGTTAAAGAATAGTTTCAAAACTTGCTGAACCTATACTGACAAAGTTTTGTGAGAAATAAAATTATACAAGAAGTTCTTACCATGATGATTAATTATAATTATGTGAAATTCTCTCGACACGCTGTAAGTTTAAATGGCCATTCTAAATGAGCTGTTGACTTTTGAAATAAAGTTTGCTGTAATTCTCTCCCGCACTTCAGCGATTAATCTGATAATATTGCAAATATACACGTTTTATGTGCTTAACATTTCAATGTGCTCTTGCTTTTTATATTATATATTCAGTTTTGCTTGTATTAGCTTCGCTTGTACTTTCTGGTTAATATTCATTAAAAGTCTGTTCATTTTGTTACTTGTGTTACGCGAAGTTTCGTCGTGTTATTTTAATTAATCAGGAAATTTCATACTCTAATCTGGAGACCGACTGATGCGGTCGAAAATCTGGGCCGGGTTGTTCGAAGCTGGTTCACTTCGAACAGGCCTAATTTCTGTTATAGCCCCCGTTGAAGGTTTGTGTTGCAAACCGAAATATCGGACAAATATAATTCACTACTTTATTTCTGTTTTCTTTCTAAATTTTTTCCATCACCCTTCCTGCCTTAAGGATCAGTTTACTGTTTTAATTTTAAAATTTGGTAGTCAAGATTTTACTGATCCAGATCTACTAAAGATCCGGCTGACCCTCACTCAGGTTTGTCGTTGTGGTTTTGCCTTCACAAGTGTTTCTGGGTTAAGATAGCACAGGGTTTATAGTGCGAAATTTGAATTCAGAAATGAAAACTAAAAAAGCAAATTTAGTTTAATTCTTTTTGTCTACACTTTGGTGAGTTGATGCTCTCAAAAATTTGCGAAAATTTGAACAAAAGAGAAAGAAACCTCGGTCAAAATTTAACATGTTTAACCCCGGGTTATAGCTAATCGGTCTTCCAACAACTGGGCCCTTGAGTCTCCCGGATTATCTGGTAGTCGTTGAATGCACTGTAATTTAGACTAGGTTTGTTAGCCAGTTACATTTCTCGTGGTGATAACAGAAATGTAATTATCATTATCATCATCATCATCGTCGTCGTGGTCGTCGTCATCATCATCATCGTCGTCGCGGTCGTCATCAGCATCATCATCGTCGTTGTCGTCGTCGTCGTCGTCGTCGTCGTTTTCATCATCATCATCATCATCATCGTCGTTTTCGTCGTCGTCGTCGTCGTTGTCATCATCATCGTCGTCGTCGTCGTTGTCAGCATCATCATCGTCGTTGTCGTCGTCGTCGTCGTCGTCGTTTTCATCATCATCATCATCGTCATCGTCGTTTTCGTCGTCGTCGTCGTCGTTGTCATCATCATCGTCGTCGTCGTCGTCGTCGTCGTCGTCGTGGACGTCGTCATCGTCATGATCATCATCAATATGGTGGCGGTTATTATTACCATTTTTTTTGACAAACTTCCTTCTTGATCCTTCAATGATATTTCATTATTTCCCTCTTTTTTCTCATATCTATGCGGCTAAAACGCTTCGAGGTATCAAAACTTAATCCTAAGAAAACATACACTACCAAAGTAGCCATATTGCGAAGTTTTTTGGTCGCGGCATCAGTCTTGCTGACTTGGTTTTATCTGCAAAATTCTTCTTTCCTGGACAAAATCACATTCTTTTCAAAAAAAAAATTGTTTGGTTAGACGCCGGCGTTTAAAGAACTTTACTCCTTTTGGTTTGTGATAACACAAAAATATTTATAATCATTTGCTTTCATTAATTTTGAACGTTTCACAGTCATTTTTGGAATCGTAACTGCCCATGCACCCTGAATCAGTGTAGCTGGTGAAAATTAACTAGAAAGTGCTTATCCAGACTGGGTAATTTGTTGGGCTTGATTTGGAGAGTCCGCAATAGGGTTTTTCAATCCCGTAATCCCGACCCAAAACTTCGAGCAATCCCATAATCCCGAAGGTTATTTTTGGCATCCCACCTCCTGCGCATACTTTCAATTCCGAATCTCTCACTGATTTGGCTGTAAAATCCCGAATCCCGAGATTCAAATAAGGGAAATCCCGTATCCCGAGAAACCTATCGGGGACCCTCGATCACCAGCCGCTGTTCGGGAAATGAGAATGCGTTCATTCCCCGAAAGGGAGTAGGAGGAGACCAAGACCAGATAGGAGAGAGCGGCCATTGGATCGAGTCCGATTCCCCTTAATTAAAACCGAACAGATTATCTCAAAATCTAGACTTGGCGGACTTACATTTCAAAATCACTGAACCATGCGATTAGTCTGCACAACAGTCAGATTTAACCTTTGATGAGTAAGTTAGCATCAATAATCAGTGCTACTCCATTTCCAACTACGTCACGTGCGGTAGTTCCATCTCATTGGCCACAATGTTTAAGCGTGACTTGAGGTTGAGTGCATATAGTGCATATAAAAACAATCATATATGCAATGGCTCCTCAAGTCGTGCTCATCTCCGGTTGTTCCAGCGGCATTGGACTCGCTACCGCTGTGCTTCTCGCTAAAGATGCCGAGAAACGCTTCAAGGTTTACGCCACCATGAGAAATCTGGCGAAGAAAGGACAACTGGAGGAAGAGGGACAGGATCAACTTGGGGACACTTTGATTATCAAACAGATGGACGTTTGCAGCGATGAATCAGTCACGAAGGCCGTGCAAGAAGTGATGGAAATTGAAGGCAAAATTGATGTGTTGTGTGAGTATAATATTATAGTTCTGATACTTTGACACTGACTTCCGACTCGAACAAAGCGATTTTTATATAATGAGCTGTTGATTTTTTGAGTGGCTCACTGATTCGAGTCATTTAATATGTTAATACCTTATTAAAGTTTTTAGAATACTCATTGGATAACAAATGAAAACGTTATCCTCTCGTCGCAGCTTAATTACACCACGCTCTAATTCAAAGCGTTTCTAAAGGACTGCACAAGTCCTTGTCTTTTCATTATGCGCTGAAGTGTCTGTTGCACCAATTAACAAATTTAAATTACTTCTAAGTGAATAAAACAACAAAACTTGTTTTTCGACAATCACTTCACCAGTCCTTGACCGATAACTGAGTTCGGAGGATGTTGGCAGGGGTTAAGTTTCTATAGGTTATACCTACAGATCGGAATGCAAAGCAACGGAATCTGAAGAAAACATTTCGTAGAAGTCAAATCCGCAGACGATTTATAAACAAAAACAGCGCCCCCATTTAACATAACAAAAAGAATCTACATCACGCGAATTTGACGCTTTCATTAGTTTTTCTTAAACCTTTAACCCTTGACATCAACAAGCATATTCTCCATACTGCACTTTGACTTCACTTGTTTTTAATAAGCATAGTACAGTAACTGATAAGGATTCCCATGATATTGATGTTCTGGAGACGAGCTTGAGTGATGTAAGTTATAAAAGAGTTAGCCATATTCTCGTCACTGTGCCAAAGCTGTAAGTGAATACTGTTAGTAAAAAAATGTATTTTTTTCGCCGACCCCAAGGCCTTTCAATAACTGCTACATGTATTCTTTCTTGTAACAGTTAACAATGCTGGCATGGCTTTGACAGCTGTACTGGAATGCACGCCTATGAACATGGCGAAAGACCTGTATGAAGTCAACTTCTTTGGTGCTCTAAGGCTCATCCAAGCTGTGCTGCCAGGTATGAAATCGAAGCAGGCTGGACACATAATCAACAACAGTAGCCACTACGGTTTTGTTGGGCTGCCTTTCAATGAGCTATATTGTTCTTCAAAGTTTGCTATTGAGGGACTTACTGAAGCTCTAGCCCCATTGCTACTTCACTTTAATATCAGGTAGGGGACTAGCGAAACGTTAAAGCTTCCACGTATTAAGCCATCCATCCCGCATCGATCCATCCATCCATCCATCCATCAATTATTCAAACAATCAGTGAATCAATCAATCAATCAATCAATCAATCAATCAATCAATCAATCATTTAATCCATCCATCCATCAATCAATCAATCATTGAATCTACTGATCAATATCACATTTTAGAGTATTTTGCCCTAAAATGGAACCTCCCCTCCGCATGCGTACAGATCGATTAATAAGATGTGCAAAAAGAAAGTCACATTAAAACGTCAAAACTGTCATTTTCTGGTCTAAATATTTTCTCCCTTGATACTGAATGGAGTCATGAGGACCCCGAAACGTCGTGTTATAATTCTTAAATCTTTCTGTGGACAGGTTTTTATAACGAACGCGTTGTTCCAGATTCCCGCCAAAATCGATCTAAAACTAGAAAAAACTGGTAATTTATGCATGAAAACGCTCAGCTAGACACGCTCAGGGTTATTGGCGCAAGTAGTCATCAAATTTGTTTAAATTCGTGCCTAACGAAAAGTTGAACAATTAAAAAAAGAGAGGTGTAACTCTGGCTCAAAATTGGTTCGAAATATGTAATCCTAGAAATGTGAAACTAGTTTGACCATTTATTATCATTATTGTTATTATTATTATCAAAGGTGTTCTTTGCTCGAACCAGGCCTTGTGGGGACTGCAGTGATGGACAGTATGGGGACCTGGGTCAAGAACTACGACGTGAAACCCGCTGACCAGAGGAGCATGGAGCTACAGAAGGCGCTCGGAGGCAATATGGAGCAGCTTTTCGATAAATTTCAAAGTCCAAACGAGCTCGCAGGAATTGTAAAGAATATAATTTTAAGTGAAAAGCCTAACCTACGCTACCAATCAAATGCGAGCTTTAACCCCGATGAGGTGAGGGCCAAACTTCCTGATCCAACTGGAAATGATGTTGTTGAATTACTGAAAAAGAAGTATCTTGATAAGGAATAAGTCGTTCCAAAGATCATTCAGCATTGAAATAGAGCATTGTATGTTTAATGACTGTCGACTCTTTCAGGTCTGAAGTTTACAATAAAAGATAGTGGTCGTTACACAAGTGTTTGTAAAATTGTTTGTGATATTTGCGGCCTGCGCGGAACAAGTAAGGGTGGGGCGCGAGAGGAACGTGGAAGCCCGCACGCAACCAGAGATTTACCATGTTGAAAGAGGTGATCCCTACGAGACTAATCCCAATCAGGGATCCCTATCACCCAATCAGGAACGGCCCTACACAAGGGCATTACACCTCCTGTGACCTGTTCGATATGTTCTCCTCTGTTTTTCAAAGCACAGATGCGCTCTGATATTTTGCTACAGGAGCCCGTCAATTTGATGGGTTCCTGTTTGCTAAAATTTTCGAGTCATTTGCTTCAATGGGACAAAACCTTTTTTGCAGAATTCAATAAGATTTTTAGGAATCCGTATTTCTTTTTCCTTTAAAAAAATGTCTGCCCCTGGAAAATTGGAAATCTGCCATTGCAAAGAAGTAACTCGTCTGCTTTATGTGTTATTTCGAACCGTAACCTCGAGTTTTCGGAAAGGTGTAAGGCATTTTTGCGTGACCGTCACGCAATAAGTTGCTTCAATGCGAGGCTGACAGTGTTGCACAAACCAGCCGATTGAAAAGTGCTTCAGTGGCCTCAACATGTCTGCGAGAATCGTGCTTATCTCTGGTTGTTCCAGCGGCATAGGACTCGCTACCGCTGTGCTTCTCGCTAAAGATGCCGAGAAACGCTTCAAGGTTTACGCCACCATGCGAAATCTGGCGAAGAAAGGACAACTGGAGGAAGAAGGGAAGGAGCAACTTGGAGACACTTTGATTATTAAACAGATGGACGTGTGCAGTGATGAATCAGTCACGACGGCTGTTAAAGACGTGATGGATGCTGAAGGAAGAATAGACATATTGTGTGAGTAGGATAAATTGAATTACCGGTATTTATTCGCACCATTGATACATAAATTTGTGGTTATAAAATGCCGTGTGCTCAATACTGACCATCCACAATCACGCGAAAGTTGACTTTTCATCTGTGTAACTTTTAAAAACTAATTTTACTATACATACATACATACAGATAAACTTCATAGTAACTCAAACTCTAGGGTAGACGATGATACGGCCGAAATTTAAAATTCCTAAGACAACATCTTTCTGGGTAAAATAATTAATTCAAATTTGCGAAGAGTCACGCAATACAACACAGGGACCACGTGAACGATGTAACTGAATAGTTAGTTTAAAAGGTATTTCAATCTGTTTACAGTTTTTAAGTGTGAGTAGCAACGCATCCGTTATTTGTGACGTTCCATGGTTGAGGAGGGTATGATAAGCAGCTTTGCATGACGACACAAAGAAAGGTGGCCTGCAGGCCAGCTTCGTAGAAGATGTTGAGCGGTCTCCCTTGGAAGGAGGCCGGCCATGCACTGACCATTGAATAGATAACTTTCCACACTTACGTATCTTATCAATTTTCTGAGAATTTGTGTGAAGATTAACATCAGTTTAGAAATATATGTATTTATTATATAGACACGAATGTTTTACTGGAAAATATACCACTCGTAAAATTCATAAAAACTGCATCCGGGACCCGAGTGGTTTATTTTCCATAATCTCACACGCGAGTTTATCGATGATGTAATTTCCCTCCAAAATTTGTAGGCGTCTTGCGTCCTTTAAATTTTAATTACACATTTTTCAAAGCTTTGCTTATATTTTGTCATTGTAGAACCCTATTCAGTTCAGTGTTAATTCTCAAGATTATTGTAAGCGATGTCTTATATTGCTGTACTGTAAATTTGAGCGGTCACAATTACTTTTCGGCAAATAAAAATCTCTTATTTTATCAATGTCTTTTTGTCTATATAATAAAAAGAACATTACACGGCGGCTTGAAGATATGAATTTTATTTTCTCGAGGCAAAAACAATATTTTACTCACTTGCTGCGCTTGTTCATAAAATATTGTTTTGCCACTCGAAAATAAAATTCATATCTTCGCGCCACCGTGTAATATCCTCTACATATTTTTAATGAAGTTTTACTGCGGCTTCTTATGAAAGGTTTATGAGAAATAAATAAGATTAAGTAACGCTGATTTTGATATATGGTGTAAAATATATAATAATTATAGTAATAATAATAATAATAATAATAACAATAGTCTTCTTCGTCTTATTATTATTGTCATAAATTCATTTTTAAGGAGGGTGAGCGGGCAGGGTGTGAGTAATAGTCCTCTTTCATAATGGCAACCTATTTATATATTCTTTTATATGAATGACAATTAGCCTTTCTGACCTCATTTGAAAGTAAGAATCTTTTGTATTTTGCACATGCTAACAAGATCAGAAAGGCTAATTATCATACAAATAAAAGAATATATTAACAGGCCGCCATTATGAAAGAGGTCTATAGATTTTGTTCAAAGTCATAAGCAGTAGATAAGGGGTCGGTGCATTAAAGGTATCCTTTCCGCCCTATGACCATCTGACTTATCCCACCCAATTCCCTCTTTTCACAGTTAACAATGCCGGTGTGCCTCTTATGTCAGTGTTTGATTGCGTCCCCATGGACCTTGCCAAGGAAACATTTGATATCAATTTCTTTGGTACCCTGCGTCTGATCCAGGCCGTGCTGCCAGGCATGAAAGCAAGACAGAGCGGGCACATCATCAACAACACCAGCACCTTTGCAATTATAGGTACTCCCTTCTTTGAAATCTACTGTGCATCTAAGTTTGCTGTTGAGGGGCTGACAGAATCATTGGTTCCTACACTGCAGCAGTTTAACATCAGGTAACAACAACTTCTACAAATCACTAACCACTGGTATTAACTCCCAAGAGTGACCAACGTTAATTTTCACCCAACAATATCGGTCCATACATCATCAAAAGAAAAAGTCATGACAATTAATAACATGATTACCAAAGAGAAAATGCTTTGATCCTTTGTGAATGTCTCTCAGCTAGTAGTTCGATATGGTTGGGACACTTTGCAGTCATTTTGCCCTTCCAATGTTGGTGCGCAAGTTTTGGTGAGTTAACTGCAAAAAACAACATTGGGAGGACGAAGAGAAGGGCCAGAAGTAAAAAAAAACAAAAAAAAACAGCGTTGGTCGGAAGTGTCCCAACTATTTTTGTCTAAGACTGTAGTTCTATAAGGAAATGTATGGAGATCAGTCTGGAGAATCTGTATCTAGATATTGCGCTTAAACCAGTTATTATCAACATTCTTTAATTATTGGACCAAATGGGGATTTAATAAGGAAGTGATAACCCTTGTACTCTTATTCTTCACTACAAAAATCTTAGCCATTTTTACCAGTACCAACTTGCTATTCCTTCAAGCCAGCACTCACCTTATCATTGAACTGAACCTCTGGTGTTGTTAGCTATATAGAGCTTTTAAGAAAACTCTCATGCAGTGTTTCTTTTAAATTAAAAGGTGCACCCTTCTGGAACCAGGCCCTGTCAGCTCAGCGGTTGGGGAATGTAACGCTGAAAGAACAAAGAACATTGATCTGACAACCGCTGACCAGAAGACCCGCGATATCTGGCAAGGTTTGCTGGGAAGGATAGGTGGGATTTTTCACGAAAAAGTAGTTCTGTCACCTTTAGAAGTTGCAGACTCCGTGCGAGAAATCATTCTTAGCGAAAATACCAATTTTCGTTTTCAGCCAAGTAAAGAGTTTTATTCGGAGGAAATTGCTGCTAGATTTGCAGATGCCACGGGGTATAAATCAGTGGATCTAATAACCCAAAAATTCTGTCCAGAATAATAAATATGGTCTTTGCTGTTGTTGTTGTTCGCTGTTACTTTCCTCGTATCGAGAAAACATCCAATTTTCAAGTACACATGTAACACTCTATATTTCAAAGGAAAAAACAAATACAGTCAAACCACGTTTATACGGAGACTGAGGGGACCATAGAAAGTGTCCGTATTCTAGGTAGTGTTTTACGGAAAAATGAAGGTTGCCCAGTGCTCTAAAACTGGAAACTCTAAGGTGCCCAGCATATGTTTTGTATGAAAAAAGTAAGATTTCCTAGTCGCCTGAGAGCAAATGTTGGGAGCCAGGGGCCACTGGGCTCTGTTAAAGCGCAGCCGTGGGTATTAACGGGGTGTCCGTATTAAGCAGTTTGAATTTAGGGAAAAAGTGAGGACTTCCTTTCCCCAGGGACAAAGCAAACTGTCCGTAATAATGAGATTGGTTAGTGTCCATATTAAGTGGGTGTCAGTAAAGCGGGCTTTGACTGTGCACAAACAAAATAAAAGGACATGCTGGACATGGTTTTGACCCCTCAGCATTATTTTTTACTTTCGTACCTATACAGACAGTAGGAAGAGGGCCAAAAACAACAGCGCTCGCTCGGTAAACCCGCCAGCTACATGCACGCAGGCTACTCGACCTCTGAGCGGCATTTTGGGCAGTTTTGGGTTTTTATAGCCAGACAGTGAACAGAAAACCGCTCCACAAGTATCAGAAGGCGATTTTCCGAAGCAAAGTACCATTTTTCCGGGACAGTCGACCTTTGAGCATAAACAACAACCAAATTTACTTGGCCAGAAAATGCCAAAACGGTTGAAATACGCCCATTTTTACAAGACGTACCCTTTGATTAACTAGCCCTTTGATGTCAAGCGGCTGAAATGATTAGTCGATTGTGATACCCCTCATTTTTTATTAACGTCATCTTTAAATATGCAAAGACCCTTGATGTTCAAACAATTGAATATTATTGGTTAAATGTAGTACCCCTCATTTTTAAATGACGTATCGATTAATTAACCAGTCCTTTGATGCTAAAGCGATTGAACATGATTGGTTACATGTAATACCCCTCATTTTTAAATGACATATCCTTTAATTAACTAGTCCTTTGATGCTAAAGCGACTGAAAGTGATTGGTTAAATGTAATACCCTAATTTGCAAATGACGTTTCCTTTAATTAACTAGCCCTTTAATGCTAAAGCGACTGAAAGTGATTGGTTAAATGTAATACCCTAATTTGCAAATGACGTTTCCTTTAATTAACTAGCCCTTTGACGTCAATTGACTGAACATGATTGGTTGGTCGCAACTCTAACTATTTTTCAACGTGACCCTTAATTAACAATGATAGCCCCTTGAAAACTAGCCGACTGAGCACGATTGGCCCATTGAAATACCTTTAATTAACAAATGACGCACCCAGTAACACTTGTTATTTGTCAACGCGACCCTTAATTAGCCAAACTTCTTTTGATATCCAACCGTCTGAGCACGATTGGCCCATTGAAATACCCTCAATTAACAAATGACGCACCCAGCAACACTTGTTATTTGTCAACGCAACCCTTAATTAACCAAAGTCTTTTGATATCCAACTGTCTGAGCACGATTGGCTCATTAAAATACCCTTAATTAACAAATGACGCACCCAGCGACACTCGTTATTTGTCAAAGCGACCCTTGATTAACAAAAGCCCCTCGATATCCAACCGACTGAGCGAAATTGGCCAATTGAAATACCTTTAATTAACAAATGACACACCCAGCAACACTCGTTATTTTCAAAGCGACCCCTGATTAACAAAAGCCCCTCGATACCCAACCGACTGAGCACGATTGGCCCACTGAAATACCTTTAATTAACAAGTGACACACCTAGCTACACTCGTTATTTGTCAACGCCACCCTTAATTAACCAAAGCCCTTTGATATCGAACCGACTGAACACGATTGGTTCCTTGAAATACCTTTAATTAACACTGAATGACACAACCAGCAATACACGAAATTCTTGATGTTCAAAAAACAGCTCTTGAAATCTTCCCCATTCGGATTACAAACACGATCAGGAGAGCTGAAAGACAAAAATAAATGAAAAACAAAAACACAAAGGCAAACTTATTTTATCAAACTTTTCTCTTCCTACCTAGCAATCTGTGATCAAAGAAAAAAAAAATACTTGAAATAGTTTGTTTTGGAGACCAGTATCCCTGTGCGTCATGAAAAGGGACCGCTGAGATGCAGAAAAACAAAAGTTCCACTTGTTTCCCCGTCACTGTTAGGCAAGCCAATGACGATAAGGCCGGTAAGGCCTTTGAAACGCAAATAAAATGCAAAGGGAATAGTTATTTCAACAACAGTTTAAGTTAACTGGAATTGAACACAGACATCAACATTGATCACTTGAAAAAATGGCACATAATTTTTTCACTCCTGGGAAAAGATCTCTCGCTGTCATTGATGAAATGGTGAACGATAAGTATCCAGAGCCGCTCATTCATGAAGGTAAGAATCTTAAAAAAACAAGAAGACATTCAACAAAAAACAAAAATGACAAAAATGATTCAATAGTCAAAATATTGCCTAGCCAACCATTTTAAGGCACCTGGTATTAGGAAAACAATTTTTGTCTTGCTTTTTCGACTTTCTGCAACACGCTGTTGCGACCTGAAACAACGAAATCTGTTGCCAGACAACTCTCAAAGTAAAAATTTGTCGGTGTAATAACAGGCATCTTTCTTTTAGTGTGCTTTTTCGACCGTGCGATGTTTTTAGATCGGACAATTTTTCTCTCCATTTTTTGTTATATTTGTTTGTACCTTTTCCTAAAATTTATCTGGAGACAAGGTTTCACTGCATGACTTTAGTTCACTACATTCTTCGGGCAATCATCAACCAGAGATGGTTTATCATTCAAAATTGCTTTATACAAGCGAAGCTCTTCTAACGGCTTTTGTTTTTCGTTGTTCGTTGTTGTTGTTGTTGTTTTATTCAGGTCACTTTTTTCACCTCAGACCATACCGCTCAATATTAATAACACTTAACGACAACTTACGATAAGCGACTTGATCAGGTAAACATCATGATTCTTCACCGTTTAGATACTGAATTGACACAACCTGTCAGTACTTCGACCCAGGATGTTTCATTGAACAAGCCGAAAGTCAGCCGCACTCAATTTTCAATCTACCAAAAGGTTGTCTTGGAGCAGTCGTTTAATGCCTCTCTGTACGTAACGGCCGAGGAGCGAGATGAACTTGCCTTCAAACTTGGACTTTCACCTATTACTGTGCAGGTAAGGTCAAAGTTTCCTTTCTATTTTCCATCCATTATGTAAGATGACTGAGATCTTGGAAGATATGGACAATGTTGAAGTGAATACTGTTGCAATAGTGGCATTCGTAAGGCTGGTGATCGTGGTGGCGGTAGTGGTAATGGTGATGATAGTGGAAATGCTGCTGGTAGTAGATCGAGAGCTTGCAGTGGTTACAGTAGTATCAGCCGGTGGTGGTAATGGAAGTCTCGTTCGAGCTAGTGGTAGTGGTTGTGGCAATGGTAGTTTAATGTGACTGGTGTGCTAGTAGTATTAAAACTGGTACTGGTGGTGGCAGTGGTTGTTTCAGTGGTAGTGGTATAGTGATAGAAGTGCAGGTGGTAGTAGAACTTGTAGTGGTGGTGGTAGTAGTGGGGAAGTGGTAAAAGTAGTGGTAATGGTGGTGGGAATGGTGGTGTTAGTGTTGGTGGTGGTAGTTGTAGTAGTAGTGGTAGTGGTGGTAGTGGTAACGGTTACGGTAGTGGTAGTAGTAAAACTGATAGTGGTTCTAGTTGTAGTAGAACTGGTAGTGGTGGCGGTCGTGGTAGTGATTTAGCAGTGTGGTGGAAGAGACTGTTGCAGTGCGACAGTAAAAGCGTGAGTGATAGTGGTAGTGATAGTGGTAGCAGTAGTAGGAGAACTAGTAGAAGTACTAGTAGCAAACTTGTTTTAGGTACCAGCGGACTAGTAGGGGTTGCCTCAGCCGTTAGCTGGTGAGTGGTAGTAAGACTAATTGAAAGCCTGGAAAAATCTCGCCTAAGATGAATGAGCCAGTTATTTCTGACATACATCAACCAAGAGATCTATGCGTTTTAGATTATACACTTTCACTTAGTTAGCATGTATAATCATGTCTACTGGAACAGGCATGTCAAATGGATAGGTCGTAAAACTGTTAGTTACCAGATGAATAGATGCGAGAAGATAGCACTATTTTTACTAGTTTGTTATTATCATCATCATTATCATCGTCATCATCATCAATAATCTTGTTTACTTTCATTTCTCAGACCTGGTTTAAGAACAGGCGATTCAAATGGCGAAAGCAAATGAAAACGGCAGATGCGACTCGAACTGGGCTTTTTATACCACCACCATCGCTACTTGTTCAGCCCAGCCCTCTCTCCTTTCCTGTGTGGCAGCCTTGCATAGGATCTGAGCACCAACAGTCAGACGGAAACCTTTATGGCTACAGCAATTGTTGTCGTGCCAGTTCACCGCGCATGCTCAACTTCAGCAAAACACAATGGTGAAAGTGGATGTTCTATGATCGTGATGTTAATTTTATCTATCATTTTGCAAGTGTAATTTGCTACTGACCGTTTGACGTTTTTGTTGGGGGGGGGGGGCGGGTGACTGCTTCGTATAGCCAGAGATAATAGATGAAAGCGAAATAGATGAAAGCAGGGGATAGGGTGGGGAGGGAGTTACTGTTTCTTATGCTAAGAGAGAGTAGATGAAAGCGGGGTAGGGTGGGGAGGGTATGACAGATTTGTATAGTGAAAGGAAATAGATGAAAGCGGGGTAGGGTGGGGAGGGTATGACAGATTCGTATAGTGAAAGACAATGGATGAAAGCGGGGTAGGGTGGGGAGGGAGTGACTGTTTCGTATAGTGAAAGACAATGGATGAAAGCGGGGTAGGGTGGGGAGGGAGTGACTGTTTCGTATAGTGAAAGACAATGGATGAAAACGGTGTAGGGTGGGAAGGGGGTGACTGTCTCGTATAGTGAAAGAAAATGGATGAAAGCGGGGTAGGGTGGGAAGAGAGCGACTTCTTCACATAGTGAAAAAAAGAAAAAAGAAAGAAAATGAATATGATATGAAAGTGGGGTGGGGTGGGGGAGGGGGTGTCTGCTTCCTTCTATGGTGAAGGCAAAGGGGATATACCTTTGAAAATACTGTACATATGAATTCATGGTTGTTCAAATAAAGATACTTCTTGCTGTTGCATTTATTGTTATTGATGTTTCTATTTGTTTTGTTGTCATATTAAGAAGGTTTAAAAGGTTTCAGGCTGCAGCGCTTTTACACATGCAGAGTGCCCTCACCTGAAATCACTGCAACACGAATTTTCCATCAAAAATCAAAACGGGCATTTTATTGAATTTTTTATCTAGTTCTATCTGATGAAATGTAATGAAACGGCGGCCATGTTGGTGTTCCAAACCGATCCTGTAGGAGTTGAACTCTTTTGTTATGTAAAAGCTTTCTTCTGTTTCCAATAAATTTGCATAGATGCTGGAAACATGAGTGAAAATGCTCACAGTTTTTTATATAACGTCAAAAAAAAAAGAAAACAAAAACAAAAAAAAGATACGTGCTGGAGTCGACCATTTATTCGGTTGAAGAGGGGTCCATATACGGTGAAACCTCTATTAAGCGGACCCCCTCTATTAAGCGGACACCCTCTATTAAGCGGACACAAAGCTGGGTCCCGAAATTAACGTCTTATGTTTCTCTTTATAACGATCCCCTATTCAGCGGATACCTCTATTAAGCGGACGCGGGCACTAAAATAAATCGTATTTGACCAATTTCTACTGTTAAAAACTTCTATTAAGCGGACGCAAGACTGAATTGATAATAGTAGTATTGGGTTATTTCCTTGAAATACTTACTGTAGTCGATTAATAAAGATAAGTCAATACATTTAACTGTCAATAAACTGTAGATTAGACCGATATCCGGCAGTATATATAATTGTCATCCGCGATCAATTAGTTCGCCTAAAAGTCTTGCGCAAAGTACAGCACGACTTCCTTAATAGTTTTCTCAGCAACATGGAACTTAATCACAGTACAGAGTAACCGCTGAATGTTAATCTTTAACAAACGTTGCGCAATTTTTACAAACCTCTATTAAGCGGACACTTGGGAAGATTCCGAGGGTGTCCGCTTAATAGAGGTTTCACTGTATAAGTAATAGTTCCCAATAAATATTCATTTCACATGTCTATTAATCTACCAATCCCAGTCAACTTTCTTGTGAATTCTCCTCTGTTCTCATGAATTCAACTCAGTTGAGCTCTTTTGAGCCGCTTCATTCTAATCTTGAATTAACGGACTAAACAAAGCCAAAAAATCCATATCACAGCACAAAGCGAATATTAAGCTGAATGGGTACCTTTTTCAGGCTTACGTATAAGAAAGGGTAGGGATTTCACTAGTTAAAGTTAATCGCTGGCTTCTTGTTTACATGTAGACGGACAAAAACGGAGGTTTTCGTTATATGATGATGCCATACGTTATGTACTATGCAAGCATGCTCTGTAAGGGATGCTGTCGTAATTCCATCGTTTTATCGCGCGTGTATTTTTTTTGAAAGCGGGGGAAAAAATTCCCCGTTTTCAAGAATATCCGGTTACATATTGGCAGGGACTAAAGTGACCATCGCATTGCCTCTCATCAAGCCTGAAAACGTTAGACGTGCGATGACGCAGGAAAAAAAAAGGATGTTACGAAATTTGGTATTCAAATTTTTTAGTTTATTGTTCTCTTTCTTTCAACAGTTCGTCAAAATACTGGAGATGACATCTTCGTTTGTATTGTACAAATGCCAATTGGTAAAAGCAAATACGTCATGTTGGTATTAGGGCGCTTAACGCGCTTAAAGTCAATAATACTTAGGTTGAGCTTTCTTTTACGTAGACGTCTATTTATTTAGGCTTTTCTCCCTTGATGAACTAATAATTTACTTTAGCTGTTAGAAATTAACGTACGGTTCACGGAGAAAGTAGCCCGACGAAAGATCGTATTTTAATATTCACATTTCTTATACCCAGTCACAGTTTTTAGCGGAAAGATAAAGGAGGACTTTATACCATTGTGAAAAGCTCGGTAACAATACGCGTATTACACAATAATATCGTCTTTGTGGATTGCTCGTTACAGCCAGAAATTCTTCAATTAGACATTGTTTTGCCAAGCTACCGTCAACAAGAAAATCATGGATCCCCGAATTGTGCTGATCTCTGGCTGTTCTAGCGGGATAGGACTCGCTACCGCTGTGCTTCTCGCAAAAGATGCCGGGAAACGGTTCAAAGTTTACGCCACCATGCGAAATCTGGCGAAGAAAGGACAACTGGAGGAAGAAGGGAAGGAGTATCTGGGAGACACATTGATCATCAAACAGATGGATGTGTGCAGTGATGAATCAGTCAGCCAAACAGTACAAGAACTGGTGGAAATGGAGGGGAAGATTGATGTGTTGTGTAAGTACCGTGACTTTTCTTTTCCCGGGCCTCACTTTTTCGAGTGTATTAAAAGCGCATATGAATAAACTCCGTGTTATTTTGACATTTATTCATCAGTCATCTATCGCCAAATGGATGTTTATCGTAAGAAAGAAAAATAAATTAAGTCATGCAGGAGTGGATTTTTACAACAGTTACAATCTATCCTATGTCTGCTATCAAGGGTGCACTCATTACAAAACTGTATATGAACTGGCCGGAAAAAAATAACTTATGACCACAGTATATGTTATCCTTATAAGAAGGATTGTTACTCGATGTGCGACTTTAAATCCACTCAGTGGAGTGCCGCAATGTCACTGAAGGCGAGTACTTCCAACGAACAACTACACCGCCTTATAAGTATACTACGCCTCTAGCGTGGACAGTTACGAAAGAATTGATGTGTTATGCTAGTACGTTGACCGTGTATTCCACCTATTTATCTGGAATTGCGCCTGTGTTAAAACCCACTGTTAACATTAAATATTCATCTCGGCAAGATAAATAACATCGATAGACTTCCCATCTTTTAAATACAGGAAGTAGGAACTTGTAAGAGATATCATAAGATGGGTAAGACCTCTCATCATGCATGCCTCCCTTTACATATAATTTTTGTCTTAAAAGAGTACGTCCCTTTAATAACCAAAAGGTGTAACTCATCTACCACCCTTTATTTTATCATCATCGCCATTATTAAAATTGTTATTATGATATAAGTGTTATGATTTTTCCGACCTATCCTTATGATCTCGGGTACATTTCTTACGAAATTCCTTGAACCGATAATTTATTTATTAAGGATTACAGGTGATTAATATATGTTTCCCATACAGGTTATTTAGCGGAACTTTAAAATCATTTAGTTAGAGGAGTAGTTCCCAACTGAATATTACCTGCAGCAGGCTTATCTAAGATTCTTTCATCATGATGAAATATTTTCAATCCACAGTCAATAACGCTGGTATTGGGATAACGGGAATCCCCTTCGAATGCATTCCAATTGATGCAGCAAAGGAGCTTTTCGAAGTGAACTATTTTGGTTACATGAGACTCATCCAAGCCGTCCTACCCAGCATGAAAGAGAGGCAGAGTGGGCTCATCATCAATAACAGCAGTCATTTTGGAATAGTCGGGGTTCCCTTTGTGGAGACTTACTGCTCCTCAAAGTTTGCAATTGAAGGACTGACGGAGAGCTTGGCTCCTACACTTCGTCACTTTAATATCAGGTAAAGACAAACAATCAATAATTATATAGATTTACCCAAGGCTGAAAGCGGAGCTCCAAAGAAATACAGAGACGAGTAACTGATATACAGTCAGTTCTCTCTAAGATGAACCCTACCTATAGGCAACTTCATTTCCAATTTTGGATTGTTCCCATTTTTCATTTTCCCGTTTCCCACGCTCGTTACCCATTTCCCGCTTTGATAACGTCCGGTGGATGAACGGTTGTACGAACAGTCACGTGAAAACCTAAATTGCTTGCAGAGATTGATAACCAGATTTCCTTCATCACGGTGCTAATTATCGCGTGAAGCTCACTATGAGTGAAATACCCTGCACTTTACTTCACCTTGGGTTAATTTTATCATTTCTTCGTTACTCCTTATGAGGTCAACATTGCAGAAAGGTTTCAATCTTTCATTTGAAACAGGAATATGCAACTTTTAATAGAATTTACTACTGAATATGAGCGAACGCGCCGACTATTTTGAGAGGGTCTGAATGGGGGGGGTCCACTTGTCGGTTGTCGGTTAAAATTCAGTTACTTTGTCGGTAGTCGGTTTAAATTTTCGCTCTTTGTCGGTAGTCGGTTAAACTTTTTGATTTTTGTCGGTTGTCGGAAAATCTCAGTTAATAAGTAAAAAGGCAAGTTAATTATTAATATGTTTATGTATTTCACCCAGTTTCAAGACCTTGATCCCTAAGGAAAGAGTAAAATTTGTAAGAATGCATCATTTGATTGAACTTCATTAACTTTTGTTTGTTTTTACAACATGATCGTTTATTTCACCATTGTTTGCCAAATGAATATCATGAGTACTGATAAATCACCAAACCTTTTATTGTAAATGCGAACTTGGTTTCCCTGTCGATTACAGTACACAGCCAGTAAAAAGTATAATTAATTAATTAATTAATTAATGGACTCCAGCCTTTTGGATACTGGCTTAAATTATTCTTAGTGAAAAACTGCAAGGGGTGACAGGCTGCACATCTATACCTTTAATGTTTTGGCTCTAACAAGCATGTCCTTTCCCATAATTTTCCTTTCTCAAAGAAATAGCACTTTAACCCTCGGACGTACAAGGGGTGGGGGGTGGACACCACCCCCCCCCCCTTAAGGTTTTTCTGGGATTTTTCCAAGAGGATAAAACATCAGCACCTGACGTTTTCAGTAGATATTCGTTTATCCCTCGCGAGCATTTTGAGACAAGCTCAGTGATGATCAGTTTCTATGGTTACGAAGTATGACGTAATAAGTAGCAGGTGGTCAAGCCATTTTGAGTGAAAATGTATGTTTCTTTTTCAACTTTTTTCAACAATAAAAGAAAAATGTCGCAGCTAAAATCATGCAGAGTGCTAATTTATGTGGTATTATTCATGTCAAGCAATTACCATTTCTCGCTGTTTTAATCTGATTTCTAATTCTTGGTAAAATCCAAGATATCAGCAAAGATGGCGACCATTGTTGGTGACGTAACAGGCCTCCAGCAGCGCCACCATTCATAAAATATACCTCATCTTGTTAAGAAGATCAAAGGCTTTTCAGTGAAGGCAAAATCAAAAACGCTGGGGAGGGGTTCCATCTACCCTCCTCTTGTACCATGGTGGGGGGTATGATTTTGCGGTACGTCCGAAAGTTAAGTTGGCAAGGTAGTGGTTGGTTTTGTATGAGATTACACTTTTTTATTAAAGCTTCTTTTATGATAGACACTGAAGGGCTTGTGTTGTGTCACGAAAGACAATATTTCTTTTTCTTCCTCGTTGTTTTGTTTCAGGAGCGCTGCTTTCCTTCTGTAAGTTTTACTTCTAATGGCAACTTTTCTTTCAAAATTGTGTGGCCAGCCTCTGTCCATCAACCGCGTTTTGAAATCTGAAATACTTCCTCAAAGGAGTTTGTTCGTAGGATTCTCAAGGCTTTTTGTTTGTCAAATCCATTTTAACAATTGGTGGGTGGTAAGAGGTGCAAAAGTATATACTGGAGGGTTTCCGTTTAAAATTCGTCTTTACGTCAAGGATAGCTTTTTCTCATTTTTCGTTGAATGTTGTGCCTTGGTATACAACCAGGTCTAAAAAGATTGTCTCAGTGTCAGATATTTCGGCCGTAAATTTGATAGCCAGTAGAGCGGTAGGGTGAAGTGAGTTTACTTGATCTGTGAATTTGAAGAAATCTACCATGTCTGGTTTACTTATGTCCCATAGGGAAAAAATATCATCTATGTAGCTTTTTCAAACAGTTGGTTTAAAGATGGTTTTGCTTAAACTTTGTGTTTTTATGTATGCGGCCATGAAAATGTTGGAAAGGAAACTGCTGTATGTGCTCATCGCGGTACCGTGGTTTTTTACTATATAGTGCTTTTCATTAAGCTGGAAAGAATTTTCTTTGAGGATTATTCTAAGCATTTCTCGGACCGAAACAAGAAACGTTCAGTTTTTTCATCTTTGTCTTTTCAATAAAATTTATAAAGTCGGTAGCATCTTTAAGGTGTGGCTTCTGTGATTATGATATTAGTTGTAGTAATGTACCCGTATCAACAAAAGAGGAAGTTCTTTCTGTTAGACCATCAAATGAGTCATAACTTTAAAGAGGTTACTTCCTAACGGATAGAAAAAAAAAAAATGCAAAATGCTCTTTTCTCTGAAAACAAATATTGATAATGTCAGCCCATGTCGGTAGTCGGTTAATATTTTTCCTGTCGGTAGTCGGTAATTTTTTACTCGTTTTGTCGGTAGTCAGTAATATTTTTCGCCCTTTGTCGCTAGTCGGTTAACCCCACTCACATCCTCTTTTGAATGAAAAACTCCTGGAATACTAATGTAGTCTGGAATAAGTAAAAAAACACACAAACAAACGAAATGGACTCTGGGCAGTCAGGAGACGTTATCACGAAAATGCCAGTCTCCTAAAGCTTACAACAAACAAAGAAAACAGCAAAGGAGCAACAAAATTAAGGAGAGTTAAATTTGGACTACGACTTCTTCCTGATTTTGTCAGGAAGCGAAATATGCGTGCAAGCTTCCCGGCTCATGAAAATCGTCATCTTGAAGAGCCATCATAGTTACTAATGCATGCTTTCGCTTTTTGTCTTTTGTTGTGTAGATGTTGTTTGCTGGAACCAGGGCCTGTCCATACTGCGTGCGTACCAAAAGCGTTAGAATGGGGACAAGATCGTGGCAGCACGCCAAACGTGGACCCTAAGACCGTAGACCTCATGAATACGACCATTGCAAACATAGAAAAGGAGTTTGGTGGTGCAATGCAGACCTGTGAAGAATGTGCCCAATTCGTAAAGGAAATAATTTTAAGTGAGAAGGACAACCTTCGTTGTCAAACTAATGAGAAATTCGGGTCAAAAGAAGTAGCTGCAAAGTTAGCTGAGCCAACAGGGAATGCTTCTGTAAACATCATTACCACACGATACCTTGGCGAAACAAAGCAAGAATAAACGATGGGCCATCCTTTCCTTGATTGCAATCTGCACAGTGGTTGTCGCCGTTTATGTTGTTGTTGTCACCAAAGGGTAGCCTCATACATGCAGCTCTCGTAGTTGTGAAACCTTTAGGGTAGAATAAAAATACAAGAATTAAAGTTATATCAACCGTTACTGGGTGCTTTGGGTTTTCTGGTAGAAGGGGTGAGGGGACAGAGAGGCCGGTTGGGGGGGGGGGGGGGGGTTGGACCCCGAAATTGAAAAACAGAAACAACTAGGGGAAAAAACCCTGTGGATAAAAAACCCCCTGCAAAAACGGAAGGAGCCACCACTCTAATCAGAGTTCTTGGTTTGTGTGAAACTTTAGGGGAGAAAAAAAAAAAAAAAATTTAAGTTTTAACCACCCTGTATGGGGTGCTTTGGTTTTTTTGGTAGAGGGGGGGGGGGGGAGGAGGGGCGGGTGGGGGGGGGGGGGAGATTTGCACACGTAATTGGAATACAGTAAACACTAGCGGATAAGAACCTGTGGATTAAAAACCTCCTGGCAGAAATATGCCACTTAAGTACACAAAGATACAAGGACCTGTTTAGACAAGCAAGATCAAGCAGGTTCTTATATGTGGGTTTCAGTTAAATTACGATAAATAATCTAATAAAGGAGAGTAACTTTGACGTTGTAAATTTAGGTGTAACAAGAACGTATTTTACGAAACTGTAAATAAATTTGGTAATCAGTTTTGACGGTTGTAGAGATAAAATTGTCAATAGCTAAATGGTTTATTTTTCTGTTAATTTTCAATCTATTATCTCCTTCATAAATACTAAGAACCTAATTAAGAACCTACTTAGCTTAAATTGCCAATAAGTACCCCAAACTACAAGAACCTATTTTGCCAGACGCGAAAAAAGTAGGTTCTTATGAGCGGGTGTTTACTGTGCCTTTGCCATGGTAAAATGTAAATACCCTGAAAGGGCTCACCCATGCAATACGATTGTTCACAGCCGTTTCGAACAGAAAGTTAAAAACTGGTAATTACACAAATAGTATAGAGTACAAACAATGTAGACCTAGCTTGGAAACTCTTGAAGCAACGTTACGACACTATGTAAGGATTCAACTTTCTCACGTTCAGATTGAAATGTTTGAAATCTTAATTTACATTGAATTTACTGTAATAAAGGGGTTATTCGCTCTTCATCTGAACGGTCAACGAGCGTCCTACGCGTTTTTGTGGTTGGGTATTTAGTTTAATATTTCTGACCTCGAGCTCTCGACATATATTTTAGTATTTTTTCGTTTTTTTATCTTTATTTTGTTTATTATTATATTTTTATCCCCCAAAGTATGTAACAATCACACCCCACAATAATTAACAAAAATGGACCGTGTGCAGTCGAGCCGGACAATATCATCTCCTTCAAGTCAAGTGGAACAGACACTAGTTCTTTTGGTCCCAAAGACGCTGAAAGTAATTAATCTGGTGTTTTCTATGTCTTTTTGTCCCATAATTCTCCCGACCGGAACTTTTGACCGCCATTTTCACCTCTCGGGATTTTACTTGTTTTCACATGTTCTTGACACGGTTTTTCACATGACAAAATGTTCAACACTATTCACATTTCTGTGAAATACGGTGATAAATCATTTCAAAACCCTGCTTGAGCTCTCGTTTTCCCAAAAAAATATCATATCGATAGCCAAATCTAATTTTTGTTCTTATTGACACTGTGGAACAATTATTTTAGCTTGGTAGAGGTTTGATCAAAGGTTTGTGGGCACCAAAATAATAAAGGATGTAAAATTTTAAAAAAATTAAACAAGGGTCAAAATAACGAGACAAAGATCGCCACAGATCACTGCACGTGTTTTAGCAACGGAGTCACCTTAAGTCAATATACAGCGATTAAACAGAAAAGTTTTTCAAGCTGCTTTTCACAAAAGAATCATGGTTCCCCAAATCGTGCTTATCTCTGGTTGTTCTAGTGGCATTGGACTCTCCACCGCTGTGCTTCTCGCTAAAGATGCCGAGAAACGTTTCAAGGTTTATGCCACTATGAGAAATCTGGCGAGGAAAGGACAATTGGAGGAAGAAGGAAAGGAACAACTTGGAGAAACTTTGATCATCAAGCAGATGGACGTGTGTAGCGACGAATCGGTCACTACGGCTGTTAAAGAAGTGCTCAACGCTGAAGGAAAAATTGATGTGTTGTGTAAGTACGATGACTATTCTTTGCCCAAATAAAAAATATCGGCGTTGATTTCACATTAAATTTTTGTTTTGATTAATTTGAAGAACACAGATATAAAGCAGGCACCAATGAAGTGAAGAACAAAATTCGATTGCTTAAGTTTTGACTGAAATCGGCATTTATAGGAATTGCTGCCTGTTTCTTGTTGTTGTTGTTTAACCGATTCTTAGCTTTCACAGTTTTCATATGATGAATTATTGTATATTTTTAGTTTTTAATTTTAAATTTTTGTAATATAATTTGTTGTTATTTTTTTTGTTTTGGAATTTTAAATTTTAGGAATATAGTTACGGCCGTGGATTACCTGTAAACTAGCTGATAGCTATGGTGTTCAATCCCCGCCAAAAATCAACTTGAGTCCTCAACATTCAACTTGACCCGCTAACATTAAATTATAGCACTCAACTTTCAACTTCACGTTTCAACATTCAAAGTTAATAATTCAAGTTAAGCTCCCAAAAATCAACTTGAGTCCTCAACATTCAACTTGGGCGGCTAACATTAAGTTATAGCACCCAACTTTCAACTTCATGTTTCAACATTTAAAGTTAATAATTCAACTTAAACTCCCAACATTTAACATGATTACTTGTTCTTGAAAATTGAGCGCGCAGCATTCTACCTATACAACAACATGCCAGTTTAACAACCAACATTCCACTTGCAAGAAACCAAAACCAACTTTGCAATTTCAGTATTCAGTGCTCGGCGTTAAATATGTCTCATCATCGTATCAGACGCGATGGGTCGTGAATAATTGCCGTGCGATTAAAGTTCATCGTTGCGAATTATTGACCTCGTTGTGAGGACAGCGTAAACTGTCCGCCAAAATGTATCATATGTCAAACGCTGACGTAACAAGCCAACCGCAGGGGTTGTTTCCAGTCTCCTGTCTCCCATGGTCTCTCCTTTCGCACAACCAAGATAGCGGCTTCTCTTGCCACTGCGGAAAAGATAATTTTTAGGTACATCTACATTACTCCTAAATCAATATGAGCAACAACGAGCTCAACAATGTCAAAGATGCCCTTCGACGAATAGCAAATCAGCGGGATGTTATGAGTCAAACGTCTGGAACACCGCAAGCCAGTCAAGCCACGAGTCTCTCCTCTGCAGATTGGCTATTTGTTGTGTTTTTCAACAAATTCTTAATCGCTACCGTGTGGCAAGAAATTCTTGCGGGTTCTAATTCGGAAAAATTAATCACCAGCAAGAAAAACCAATCGGTCCTAATCGAAAAAAAATTGTTCCCACAAAACACAACAAATAGCCAATCTGCAGAGTTGGTTTTGGTTTCTCAAGTTGAATGTTGGTTGTTAAACTGGCATGTTGTAGTATAGGTAGAATGCTGCGCGCTCAATTTTCAAGAACAAGTAATCATGTTAAATAATGGAAGTTTAAGTTGAATTATTAACTTTAAATGTTGAAACGTGAAGTTGAGCTAAGTTGAAAGTTGGGTGCTATAACTTAATGTTTAATAGCCACTCAAGTTGAATGTTGAGGACTCAAGTTGATTTTTGGGAGTTTAACTTGAATTATTAACTTTGAATGTTGAAACGTGAAGTTGAAAGTTGAGTGCTATAAATTTAAAGGGACTGGTTCACGATAACGTGCATGTGTGAGTTCTGACAGAAGCTGATTGTTTTTCAACCAATCGGAAGCGAGTTAGATGCACGCAAGTAAATTTACAAAATTCAAATTAATTGTTCGCGACGCGAGAGTATTTCGGGGCATTTGGTTCCCATAATTCAAGTTTATTCTTTGCTTCTCCTCAGATATATGTTGCAGCCGATAAGAATAAGATTTACAGCCCAGTCCTGCTTTGAAACAAACATTTACCAACGTGTATTTTTACGAGGTCGTACCCACGCTAACAAAGCAGTCACCGATCGGCAAACAAAATTTGTAAACAAATATCTTATTACTGTTCTCTCAGTTTGCCTTAAATAAACCCAGAAATACCTACAAATAGCGCCTTACCGGTGACAAAAACACACAACGTATGAGTATAAAGATTATCCTTAATTGAGCATAAATTTCAAATGCTTATCAGCAAATGAACAAATTCATTCGCGTTGCATCGGGTCAGTGTTCCGCAAAACAAATGTTATCGAGTAGCACACATAAAGAAACTATATTATAAACAGAATATTCAGGCAATAATTTATTTTAAAAACATCAATTCTTAAACATATACGATCGTAAAGCAAAGATACAAGGAACATTTCAAGTGTACGAGATCGGTGAAGATCGCGCGGCCTGTTGCGGTATAACTACAGGTCGGAGTCAAAAATCAAATCAAAGTTGAACGAACTCATGCCTTTAACCACTTTCCAAGTGTCGTGTATTCTTTTCGTAAACCACACACTACTCCTAGAACCATACCAGATCGATAGGCTAAGCTTTTCTATCTCCAAAGACTCTTGATAACGTCCCGTTGCCGGACGGCCACGATGCTCTTCCGAACCTCCATGATCAAAACATTATTTTTTGCGTCTTCTTAAAACGTAACCAGTCAAACGACACAACCACACGTTAATCACCACTACCGAAGTATAACTAGACCAGCCAAAGCGACGGATGTCCGAATAAAACGAAGGATTTTCAATGATTGTCCAGGTAAAGGCGATTTGGAATTTAGTGTTGACCCGACAAATTTATTCTGAAGAGACAAACGGCGCGCATGCGCATTATCGTGAACCAGTCCCTTTAATGTTAGCGGGTCAAGTTGAATGTTGAGGACTAAAGTTGATTTTTGTCGGGGATTGAACACCATAGATAGCTAAGCGTAATATCCACGTTCAATAAAGTATCGTGTCGTATCGTATAACACTTTATAAGGAAAG